TTTCTTTTGACCAAAACCAGGGAATTGTACGGCAACATTTTTTGAACAGGGGAACCAAGGAGCTCCATCTGTTGCCTTAGTCGTTCCTCAGTGGCAAATCGCATGGCCTGTGGCCAATGTGTGTTGTCCTGACCTGCCATGTGAAGCAACAGCCTGGTACGCCTTTTAAGTTGGTTCACCTCGGCCTCACAATGGCCGTTACTTTGGGGGTCATCACCAGCTGTGAACGTGTGCATCATGTTTCTTTGTGCAACCCATGACCTAAACTTTCGAGCCAACAGTTCTTTGGCCCTGTCAGAATGAATGCGTGTGACACAGACACCCATGTATCTCATTCTAGTCACCAAAGCATCCATCGCAGGCATCACATGTTTCACGTTTCTTGACTCGACAGGTTCCATGAGTGTGACATGACGAACTTTCACAGGTTGAGAAAGTTCTCCAACAGCTTTCTCAAAACTTTTTGACTCCCATTCTTTCAACTCATCATCACCCATGATTGAAGGTTCATAGTCAGTTTCGTTTCCGTCACCTCCATCATGGTCCTTCACATTTTCACCATCATCACCTTCAGGGTTTTCCTCTGTTTTTTCGTCCCCCTGAAGGGAATATTCCTTTTCATCAAGTCCCTCCCCCCAACATGCATCCACAGTTTCCATTGGTTGCGGAGCATCGGAAGACACATCGCCAGCAACAAGCGGCTTTTCGGCAGCTGACGTTTCGTCCCCCGGAGGAGAGTCAAACACTGGAACAAGGGCTGTGGCAACCAAACCATATCTCACAACTCTTTTGGTAGCAAGGTCACGTGCTTTGGGGAGGTTCACCAAATCAACAGACATGGTCCAAGCAGAACTCCCAGCGTGTTCCCTACGTCGGTGTGGTTTTGACCCAGCCATGTTGAGTATACATGTCCTACAATCCCGTCGGTATGGTTGATGTCCTTGGTTGATATGTTGTTTCCATTGATCCAACCCCAAACTTTTGGACAATTTTGGTGGTGAGATCCCATACCATTCAACCAAAACCAACAAAGACGTTTTGATGGCAGCCCTCAACCCTGGTGCCCAAAGTGACCAAGAGGCAGTTTGGTTCAACCTTTCATCCAAGTTCACCGCCAAGTGTAGTTCACGTTCGCCAGAGCGACAGCCATCTAGTTCTTTCATGTCAGGGAGGTTGGTCATACATGTTGTGGGTTTTTTCCGAGTATGCCCAAACGCACCCTGGTCAAAACTGATCAACTCCATTCCATTTGGTTGGAAAGCTTCAAGAAAATCCCTTGTTTCATCCCAAGCCCAAAAACTCGCAGACTCATCCCCTTCACCATTTTGGAGGTAAGTTTTGGGGTCTTTAGGGGATTCCAACATAAATCCAACCCTGTTCGCAACATGTTTCATGTGGGGCCATTTTGAACCATCCCATGACTCGTGAGCATGCATGTACAACCCCAACTGTTTCAAGTACAGCGCAGTGTCACTGTCCGTTTTTTGTTGTTGGGATTCATTGAGGTGTTCAAACCCAAATCTTTCAGGACCATTTCTTGACCTCAACCTTGGTGGTCCTGGTGTTTTCTCCAACAATCTACTCACAGTACGACATGGTGGTCCCCCCAACACAGCTATGACACGACCAGATGCAGCAAGTCGCCAAAGGTAGGCCCAAGTTGCAGCATCGTGGACGTTCTGACCATCTCGAACGTCCAAGGTGATCATTTCGACGTCAGCAGGCCAACCAAGACTCCAATCCTTAGATGCTTCACCGGCATACAAGTGGATGACAATCGCCTTAGCTTGGGCATGTCGACGCCTTTGGGCTCGATTCCAAGGCAAGTGAACCCCGGGAGTTTCAACCCCTTGACCCTTCATGTATCTCCAAATTCTTTTGGGAACATTCGGAAACCTTTGTGACCACCATTCATGTGCAGTCTCAGACACGGTTTCAGGACTTTCAGAAGGGATTCTTTTGGCTAACTCCAAAGATTCAATGTCATGAATCAACCCTAACGCATGTTTTTCAGACACAACAGGACACCCATTTCGCAACCAACACTGAATGGTTCCTCTTGAGGGATGTTTGATTTCACAACCATGGGTACTCCATTTGATGACAAAACCAAGGTCAATTAATCCCCTTAATGGCACAATGGGTTCAACCGCATGTTCAGTGAGAATGGTCCCCGTCAAAGCATGTTGTTTCAGTTCAACCGACCCATGTGCTAACTCCACAACGACAGGATCAGCTTCAGCCAGTTCTTTTGGGGTTCCCCTTCTCAAAGCGTTTGTTGCCCCACCATCCAAAAGACCTGTGGGTCCATCAGGAGCATTCACCCTTTTGATTTTGACAGCCTTGGCAACCGGCTTAAGGGTTTTCAGGAGGGTAGTGGCTTCACTCAACAGCCCAGTGACCCTTTCAGGAGTACTTTCTCCCCCGTCCCCAGTTTCCGGCCCAGTCCTGTACGCAGTTTCAGATCCAAGAGGCTTCTCTGCTGCAGCAACATCCCCAGTAGTTTTTTCAGGGCTACTATGTTCCCCAATACCCTTCCCATACTTTTCGGGGGTCCCTTTTCCACTTGGTTTTGACACCTTGGCAACCCTCTTTTTGGTGGGATCATGTTTGGGGTCCGACCCTGTATTCTTCAAAGGACAGTCACGTTTTGAATGACCCACAGCAGAACAGTTGAAACATCGGTTACTTTGGGGGTCCAAATTCGCATGACCAAAAGAACATTGATCACCCCTGGTACACCCCTTTTCACTCATCCAATACCTACAAGGCTTTCTTTTTGAGTTCGGAAACCTCGGATCCGATTCATTTTGAGGTTTTGGGGAACTTTGAGGATTTTGAGGGATCCCAGGAGGCAATGGCACACCCAAAGCAGCAGCCCTCACAGCCGAAGTTGCCTTCGCAGGCGCGCTCAAAGTCAGCTCTTCAGCTTCAGCTTGCAGATGCTCGGAGTAGCTCAGGATCGTCTCTGCTGTTGGCAACTGATCCGCATTCAACTGCTGGCGGATCATGTTGAGACGATATGCCACTTGTGGGGATTTTCCACTCAAAACATCAGTACATTTGTTCAAAGCCCCTAGCAAAACCAAACCATCAGGCAACGTGACATGGAGTTCCCTGGCCCTTTGAACAAACCGTCGCCAGGTTCGAATCCAGTCCAAAACTTCATGAACATTGGAACCACATTTGGAATCCGTAATGTTCTGCAACAACTTCGTGCGCTCAGTAGCACCTCCCGGTTGGAAGGTGATGCACAACTTGTACAACACTTGGTCAGTGGTCAGTTTTCGAGCTGAAATCACTTCTTCTTTGATGGGGTCAGGAATGGCTCCCAAAAGCATGGCTAAAGCCCTTCTTTCCGTTCGAGGCCAAAGATGAACCCTAGGATCCACCTGTGGTCGAAGCCTAAGCCTTTCAATTGGTCCAACATTCAACCAATCCCTATAACACTGATCAACAGCTCCCCTGACCATGGTCCACCAATCCCCCGACGAGTACGACAAGTCACCCATGAGAGAATCGATGATGCTGAGCCAATCACCAAATTGCAGAGCAGTGGCATCCATGGACAACTTCGGAAGCTCCACCGTCCTGAGATTTTCAGATGGATTTTCACCACCTGAGTTTTGCAAGTTTCCTGCCACAGACGCAGGAAAAGGTGGCAATGCAGGAGGGAATTGAGGTGTTACTGACCCTAACCCACATACACTATTCAACATTCTTGGCGGCGATGGTGGTGGAGGTCCAGGTGGTGGCCTAGGCACAAATGGTTCAACAACATTTGACACAGTTGACACAACGTTTTCAGGTGCAACCCTCGTGAACGTCACAGCCTTTTCAGGTACAACCCTCACATATGGATCATGAACCATTTGGGATTCAACCACATCATGAGATTTGGGGGCAACAGGCTCTTGGAAATCCACTGCCGAAACATATGAACTTTGAGAACCATGCGACCCTTTTTCATGCTCATGCTTTTCAACCCTTGACTCCTTGGCACTCATCCCCATATTCAACAAACCCTGCCGAAACTTTTCTTCAGCATCTCTCAAACAACGCAATCGGAACAGTTCTATTGGATCCATTTCAACATCAACACTTTCCCTTTGTTCCACATGAACTTTTTGGGGTGTCGACGCATTTGAACCCGGCTGCAAACCCAAGGCACTCACATCGTACCCAGGCCCGAATGCTTCTCGAACAGCTTCACGCTGCTGAGTTTCGCTCCAGAAGGGATTCACAACTTCCCCCATTTGGTCTGGAACCACAACAACATTTTTGCTACCCTGAGGCGCGACAACAACGGCTCCGGAGCCCTGAGGCCCATCACCTATGTAAAACCTTTGAACCCCTGAACCCTTCGCGGAGCCCTGAGGCATGGTTTCACTCACAACAACAGAACCCTTTTCAGTGAGGCCCTGCGACACATTTTGACAACCCTCAGAACCCCTCACATGTGAGCCCTGAGACACATTTTCACAACCCTCAGAATCCCTCACATGTGAGCCCTGAGACACATTTTCACAACCAAAACCCCTCATGCGTGAGTCTTGGGACACAGTTTCACAAACAGAACCCCTCATTCGTGAGCCCTGCGACACATTTTCAACACCCTCAGAACCCCTCACACGTGAGCTCTGCACATCCCGGTTTGAGTGTTGTGCTTCTGCGGCAACATTTTTCCTACCAGACTCAGAGCCAGACCCCTTTCCCTTGCCAGCACCATCTCTAGGACTATGTTCATTCACAATCCCCTGCACTGGTTCGGTGGTAGTTCTATGCCCCTCATTTGGTGGGTTTCCAGTTTGTTGCTCTGTCACAACGACCCTTTTGACACCAGGTGTGTTTTCAACATTCTGTTTCACCTCGAGGTTTTGCATTCCCTTAGCTCTCTCAACTAACATGGGTGGCTGACCAGGGGAAAAAGACAACGGAGGTCCTACAGGTCCCAAAGCATCCAACATACCCCCACTATTCAGTTCAGTGGTGTTAGGTTCAACAGTCAAAGCTCCAACAGACCCACCAGTTCCAGACCCAGCAGCTTCTTCCAACATCTCCTCCATCAGGTCGTCTGCGCAGCTGGCAGCATTCGCAGCGCTAACAGCGGCAGCAGCTCTTCGCTGGAGAGAAGACTCACGACGACTGGCAAGCTCCATGTCAGCTGAGATCCTTTGGGCTCATAACCCGTGGATCAACAACTGAAGCAGCAGCTGCTAGGCAAGACCTTTTTCGTCTCGCCCTTGAGCCATTTTGCAATGGCAGTCATGTTTCATCCTTGTGCAGTGGCCATGCTATGGTTGGTGCATGCCACCACATGTCAACTTCTAAGTTTTTAAAATTCCACAGGGACTGGTGAAGTGCTTGGTGAATCGCACCTTTAAATTCTTTTAAATGCGTTTAAATTCTTTTAAATTCTTTGAAATTTCCTAAAATTCCTTGAAATTCCTTGAAATTCCTTAAAAGACGAATTTATTTACCACATGACATGGGACTTCCAGTTCCTTAAAATTCCTTTAAATTCTGTTTAATTCCTTTAAATTCTTTGAAATTCCTTTAAATTCCTTGAAATTCCATTAAATTCCTTTAAATTCCTTGAAAGATACATGACATGGGACTTCCAATTCCTTTAAATTCTTTTAAATTCCTTTAAATTCCTTTAAATTCCTTTAAACTCATTTGCATTCCTTCAAATTCTTTTAAATACTTTAAAATTCCCTAAAAGTCTTTTAAATTCCTTTAAATCCCTGTAAATTCCTTAAAAGACGAATTTACCACATGACATGGGACTTCCAATTCCTTAATTCCTTAAAATTCCCTTAAATTCCTTTAAATTCCTTAAAAGACGAATTTACCACATGACATGGTACTTCCAATCCCTTTAAATTCTTTCAAATTCCTTAAAATTCCTTTAAATTCATTAAAGTCCCTTTAAATTCCTTAAAAGACGAATGTACAACATTACATGGGACTTCCATTCCTTAAGTCCGTAAAATTCCCTTAAATTCCTCTAAATTCCTGAAAAGCCAAATTTACCACATGACATGGGGCTTCCAATTCCTTTAAATTCCTTTAAATTCCCTTAAATTCCTTTAAATTCCTTAAAATACGAATTTACCACATGACACGGGACTTCGAATTCCTTTAAATTCCTTTAAATTCCCTTAAATTCCATTAAATTCATTAAAAGACGAATTTACCACATGGGATGGGACTTCCAATTCCTGAAATTCTTTTAATTTCCTTTAAATCCCTTTAAATTCCTTAAAAAACGAAGTTACCACATGGCATGGGACTTCCAATTCCTTTAAATTCTTTTAAATTCCCTTAAATTCCTTAAAAGACGAATTTACCACATGACATGGGACTTCCAATTCCATTATATTCTTTTAAATTCCTTTAAATTCTTTAAAATTGCTTTAAATTCTTCGAAATTCCTTAAATTCATTTAAATTCCCTTAAGTTCCTTTAAATTCCTTGAACGATGAATTTACCACATGACATGGGACTTCCAATTCCTTTAAATTCCCTTAAAATCCCTTAAATTCCCTTAAAATCCCTTAAATTCCTTGAAATCCCTTAAAGGACGAATTTACCACATGACATGGTACTTCCTATTCGTTTAAATTCTTTTAAATTCCCCTAAATTCTTTGAAATTCATGTTAAATTCCTTAAAATTCCCTTAAATTCCTTTAAATTCCTTAAAAGATGTATTTACCACATTACATGGGACTTCCAATTCCTGAAATTCGTTAAAATACCTTTAAATTCCTTTAAATTCTTTTACATTCCTTTAAATTCTTGAAAATTCCTTAAAATCCCTTTAAATTCCTTAAAATCCCTTTAAATTCTTTAAAACAGCAATTTACCACATGACATGGGATTCCAATTCCTTGAAATTCCTTAAAATTCCAGCTGCTCAGCTCCGACCCGCCCGGACGGTTTTCCAAATAGTTGCTGAATAGCTTCGAAATAGCTGCTAAATAGCTGCTAAGTAGCTGCAAAATAGCTGCTAAATTGCTACTAAGTAGCTGCTAAATAGCTGGTCAATAGCTGCTAAATAGCTGCTAAATAGTTGCAAAATAGTTTCCAAATAGTTGCTGAATAATTGATAAATGGCTTCCAAATAGTTGCTGAATAATTGATAAATGGCTTCTAAATAGCTTCGAAATAGCTGCTAAATAGCTGCTAAATGGCTTCGAAATAGCTGCTAAATAGCTGCTAAGTAGCTGCTAAATAGCTGCTCAATAGCTGCTAAATAGCTGCTGAATAGTTGTTGAATAACTACTAAATACAGTAGGTGCTAAATAACTGCTAAATAGCTGCTAAGTAGCTGCTAAATAGCTGCTCAATAGCTGCAAAATAGCTGCTAAATAGTTGCTGAATACCTGCTAAATAGCTGCTAAATAGTTGCGAAATAGCTTCCAAATAGTTGCTGAATAATTGATCAATGGCTTCTAAATAGCTTCGAAATAGCTGCTAAATAGCTTCTAAATAGGTGGCAAATAGCTGCTGAATAAATGCTAAAGAGCTGCTAAATAGCTTCTGAATAGCTGCTAAATAGTTGCTAAATAGAACAAGGAGGTGAATGGATTCACGTGACTTTGGAATATTCTAACTGCTGACGTATTATTTTGGATTATTCCAACTGCTAGTAGGTAGTCATGCACTAATATACTATCTTTGTTCATGTGGGATGTGAAATGTACAGTGTGTGAGTTAGTTGACATGACATGTTTTGCATCTTTTTGGATGCAGAGGTCCCATGTCATGTGATTTTATTTTTTCCGAGGCACTTTACAGATGACACGGGACTTATGCATTTTTCTGCTTTTTTCACTTTGCAGATGACATGGGAGTTTGCATTTTTTGGGTATGTCCGACAACTCCCATGTCATCTGCAGGTACTATAATAGGCATTACGGCATTCCTCTTATGGGTTGTGACAATCCCGACCCAAACCTGGCGATATCACCCACAAATAGTGGTCTCGCTTCAGGTTGATACCACTGGAATGGCAAGGCCGGGAACACCCGACAAAATGTGTAGTTTAGCAGCCACGGGGCTCTCAGGGCTTGCCTCTCATCTTTTGGGCTCACAAAACTCCATGACATATAAATTATAAATTGGTTTACCCTTCCACGAGCTTCACCACTCCTCTGGAAAGCAGCAGAATCCCGTCGCCTGCTGTGTCGACGCTCACTGTCATGGAACCTGCCAGCGTGTAGTCCATGTTCACGAAAATGTCCTGCCACTGCCATGGCCACCCACAGATGGGGTTGTCCATTAATCAGGTATACTGTATACTCCAATTCATTGCAAGGTTGCTGGATAGGCAACATGACAATCAGATCATCAACCGTTGGATTTAGGAGTTTTCCCCCTAATGTTCAGCCAAAGCCACAAAAACCCAACAGAAGTTGCTTTTTTAGCTGGAGGTCTTATAGTTCCTGTCACCCATTCATCGATGGCTTTTTAGAGTTTGGCAACGAAACTGGAAACTCTGTTCGGCATCTTTTTGGGGGTTGCAAAAAAGCCGTTCCCGAACGGTGACGAACGGCCATTGAAATTGAAAATTCACCAGCCTAGCATATCAGATGGCGATGAGTGGCATCCATCATGCCAGAGTGGCTGAACAAAGCGGAGTCACATGGACCACTTACGATTCATGAGATGCACATCCACATTGTTGTTCCCATCACCCCAGACAGCAGGGGTATCTAAATTGGGTGTTTGGCAACCATTTACCTAAGGACATAGAATGAGTTTCTGTCCGGAAAAACATTGGTCAAACGGTTAGGTGGAAGGGAATGGCAACAATTTTTGGTCAAAATCCCCATGAAATCCTCATGTTTGGATGGTGAAAATCTCCATGAAAAGTCATTCAATCACTGTTGATGATCAATATCCCCATGAAATCAGGGAATACCCCAACCCTTGCCACATTCACTCGACCCTCCCGCGGTCCCACAGCTGGATTTCGTCCCCAGACAGTTCACTGGTCACTGATTCATAGCCTAGGCAAGCCGCGTGCTGCTGATTTCGATGAGTTCAAGAACCAATATCTGGCCCTTTTAAAGAGAATAATATGGGTTTTAAATACCTAGAACCTGGACGTTCAAACAAGGGAAATATGAAGAACAACTGGTAGGTCTATTTAAAGCAAATTGAATTAAACAAAAATGTGGCTTTTATCATCACCAGAATGTAATTGGTGTCTCTAGATGGGCATATAGTGGGGATGTCACCAATGAGGACTTTGACACAATAGGGATGAAACCAACAAGCGCAAGGGGGGTCACTATCACACCATGACAATACAACCATAAGAATGAGAGGTGCACATAGAATATGTATACATTATATATGTATAATGTATATATGTATACATCCATATCCATTCACTCACTTCCCATCCAGGTCCAGCATGTCGAGCTAGGCTCAGGGACAACCAATCAGGTGGGAAGCCAACCTTGCCCTGACCTCAGAGACATCAAGACTGTCGTTTGGCCGATGGGTCGACAGCAAAGAACGTCTTTTGTTGATATCTATTTGATACATCTACTGATTTATAAAAACATACATATTCCCAACAGCAGGGCCTGTTGGGTTTCAATCTCTAGGGCTGGGGCTGGCTTGCGGGGACTTGCAGCCTTCAAAATCCGGAATGGAACCCTGGAACCCTGGAACCCTGAAACCCTGGAACCCTGGAACCTTGGAATCCTGGAAAATCTGGAACCCTGGAACCCTGGAACCCTGGAACCTTGGAACCCCGGAACCCTGGAACCCTGGAACCCTGGAACCCCGGAACCCTGAAACACTGGAACCTTGGAACCCTGCGACCGTGGAAACTTGAAAGCTGCACACCTGGAACCCTGCTGGGATCCTGGAACCCTGAAACCCTGGAACCCTGGAACCCTGGACCCTGGAACCTGGAACCCTGGAACCTTGGAACCCTGAAACCTTGGAACCCCAGAACCCTGGAACCCCGGAACCCTGGAACCCTGAAACCCTGGAACCTTGGAACCCTGCGACCGTGGAACCCTGAAACCTTGGAACCTTGGCACCCTGGAACCCTCAAGGATTCTGGAACCCTGCCTGGCAACCTTGGAACCCTAGAACCTTAACCCTGGACACCTGGCACCCTGCTGGCACCCTGCTGGCACCCTGCTGGGACCCTGAAACCCTGAAACCCTGGAACCCCTGGAACCCTTGGAACCCTTGGAACCCTGGAAACCTTGGAACCCTGAAACCGTGGGACCCTGGTACCCTGGAACCCTGGAACCCTGAAACCTTGGAACCCCGGAACCCTGGAACCCTGGAACCCTGGAACCCCGGAACCCTGGAACCCTGAAACCCTGGAACCTTGGAACCCTGCGACCGTGGAACCCTGAAACCTTGGAACCTTGGCACCCTGGAACCCTCAAGGATTCTGGAACCCTGCAACCTTGGAACCCTGGAACCTTGGAACCCTGCAACCGTGCACGCTGCATGCAATAAAATAAACTATAAAACTTCCAAACCCTAAACCCTAATGCGCGCTGCGCGCACTGCGTGCCACACACATAAACCCTAAAACTTTCAAACTTTAAACCGTAACGCGTACTGCGCGCACAGCCTGCCATAGAGGTAAACGGTTAAACTTTCAAACGCTGCGTGCCATAGAGACAAAGCCTAAAACTTTCAAACGCTAAACCGTAAAGCAGGCTGCGCGCGCTGCGTGCCATAGAGTGCTCCTCAAAAGTGATTACATGTCATACTTTAGTGGCATCCTCCAAATTCATTAGTCAGCCTTTGTTAATCCAGGGCCCATTTTACACATGTCATCTTCTTGGTCGTGGCGCCATTTCAGGATCACACTGATGACCTAAGCTTTGGCCTTAACTATTATGCAGGCAAGCGACATCAGCACGCTATGGTATTGGAAGACACAGGGTTTGCCCGTAGACCAGCCAAAAAATCGATTTTCCACACTGAACAATTGGATTTAACACATTTAGAATAGGAGCTCCGCCTGATTCAGATTTCATCACTTAAAAGGTACCCATGCCTGACTCGCCTTCATGACTTAAAGCGTAACCACACCCGACTTAAGGGAACCATGTCTGACTAGCCTTCATAATTAAGAGGTACCCACCCACGCCTGACTTAACAGAACCCATGCCTGACTAGCCTTCATAATTAAAAGGTACCCATGCCCCTGAATTAAGGGAACCATGCCTGACTAGCCTTCACAATTAAAAGGTACCCACTGGAACCATGCCTGACTAGCTTTAATGACTTAAAAGGTAACTACACCTGACTTAATACCTGATTTACTGGTTTTGCCTGATTTTGGAAAAACGCAGGGCCGGAATTTGCAGGGCGCGGGCCGGAATTTGCCGGGCCCGGGCCGGAATTTGCCGGGCTGGGATTTTGGGGTCGTGCCTAAATAGGATTTTTGCAAAAATCGTGCATGACTGAAGGGAACCATGCCTGACTAAACATCATACCAATCATCCCAAAAGAATCCAATAATTCCAGCAAGTGATGCCTGACCAATCCCTGCGTCATAATAAACCGTCTGCCCCTCCCCATCCAATAATGAACACACGGAATAGTTTTTTGTATTTAGTGGGTATTTAGTATGAGGGTGCGAAACTTCCCCCTTTGTTAAAAAAAACTAAATTGGAAAACATTTTTTTAATAACATCTAACTAAAATATTGCCAAAATTGGATTCCGAAGCTTCCCCCTGACATTAAATTGAAAACATTCGTTTTAAAAAATGAACTTTCTATTTCAAAACCGATTGAATTCCTATTCAAAATCTAACTCAAATCTTGCCAAATTGGATTTCGAAGCTTCCCCTTATATTAAATTGAAAACCTTACTAATCCCCATCTCCTTTTACTAAACGTACCCTAAATACTAAAATATTACATTGATTCCTTTTACTAGGGTCCGCGTTAAATTTTGGGAAATTTCAGGCTGGCCAGTTTGACTTTTAATTGATACTTTTTCAAAAACAAATGAAACATGAAGGTCCCATTTCAGGATTTCACCACCAAAAAATAAAAACTAGTCAGCCCCGGTGTTTTTTTTAACTAGGGTCTTTTAAGGTCGAAAAAATAAGTATTTTATATTACAACGTTTATATAATATTGGGGGAAAACTTCGAAATCCACTTTTTGGCATTGCCTGGCAATATTTTTGCTGGATGTCAAAAGGAAATCTAATCGATTCTTGAAATCGAAAAAACATAGTTTTTTTTCTATTAGTGTTTTTAATTTAATCTTAGGGGAAAACTTCGAAATCCAATTTTTAGCAATATCTTAATTATATGTTAAACAGAAAACTAATCGATTTTGAAACAGTTTTTTTTTTAATATATTAGGGCTGGTAATTTAATATTAGAGGAAACATTTCAAAATCCGGTTTTTGTTTTTATTTTTGTTACTACAATTTAAAAGGAAATCGAATCGAATTCAAAAAAGAAAAAATAATATTTTATATTAGGGTTTTTAAGTGTAATATTAGGGGAAAACTTCAAAATCCAGTTTTTGACCATATTCTAATTAGATTTCAAAAGGAAATCTAATGAATTTTGATATAGAAAAAATAGTCTTTGATATGAGGGTTTAATATTAGGGGAAAGCTTCGAAATCCAATTTCTGGCAATATCTTAATTTGAATTTACAAGGAAATCTAATCGATTCTGAAATAGAACAAATTTAGTTTTTTATATTGGAATTTTTCATGCAAGATTAGGGGAAGCATCGAAATCCAATTTTTGAACATATTTTAATAATTGGATTTTAATTTGATATTAGGGGAAAGCTTCAAAATCAGTTTTTTGTTTTTTTCATTAGATTTCAAAAGGAAATCTAATCGATTTTGAAACAGGAAAAAAACAAATGATATTAGGGTTTAATATAAGGGAAAAGCTTCGACATCCAATTTTGTGGCCATATTTTATTTGAATTTTTAAAAGGAAATCTAATCGATTTCGAAATAGAAAAACATACATAGTTTTTTATGTTGGGGGTTTTTATTTGATATTAAGCTTCGGAATCCACTTGTTTGCCATATTTTAATTGGATTTAAAAAGAAAGAAATCTGATCGATTTTGAAATAGAAATATGTGTATATATATATATGTGTGTGTGTGTGTTTTTTATCAGTATTAGGGGGAAGCTTCGTACCCTAATACTAAAGACCCCCCCAATACTAAAAACTCCTCCAGGTGTTTGTTATTTGGGTGGGTGGGTGAAGGGGCGACTGTTTAGCAACAGGGGGAAGGGATTAAACCGTTTTTTGTTTCTAATTTCAAAATCCATGAAAATAATCTTTAAATAGAATACTGCCAAGAATAGGATTTCGAAGCTTTCGCCTAGTATCAAATAAAACACCAACACCTGAATTAAAAAAACTAAAATTGACGATCTTAAAGGACGGACCCCAATAAAAGACACCCCGGTGTTGACTAGTTTTTTTTTCTTTGGGGGTGAAACCCTCACATGGTACCTTCATTTTTAAAATTGTTTCCTCAAGGGGATCAATTAAAAATCAGATTAACCAATTTGACATTTCCCAAAATTGGAAATCGTACCTAGTTTTTGTCATTTGGGGGTATTTTTCGTGTAATAGGGAGAAAGGATTAGCAAAAAGAATGCCTGATCAAAATGATGCTGATTCTGTGTGTTACAATCTTTTTGCCCACTACAGTGTCTACAGGGTTACAAGGGATGCTGTGCCAGCTAGAGTCCCAAGTCCATTCAACCAACACCCTAATCGATGAAGTTGGACTTGTTGAAATGGAAGTGGGACTGGACCAGTTGACATGGGGCGATGCTGACCTTCAACGGGAGCTTCGGCGCCTGAAGGACAACAGTTTGAAAATTCCGAACCTGAAATATATTTTCAAAATTGCCTTACTAAGAGTGATCCCCACCCTGACACACTATTCTGACATAGTTTCTGACATATCATCTGGACGTATATGTGGCATATATGTTCTGACATACTATCTTACATTCTTTTCTGAGATTCTATTTGACATTCTTTCTGGCATCCTATCTGGCATCTATTCTGACATACTTTCTGGAATATACTATATTCTGATCCTGCCTTGCCATGAGTTTGGGCTGGGAGTGCTTTTATTTGCGTGGATCAATGCCAATGGCTTGAATATCCCCCAAATGTTGGTTTCACATGTTTGCACCCAATGATTGCCATTACCATTGATACCCCAAAATGGCCAGGTCCTGAATTTGAGAGTAGGTCCTGAAAAGTTTTCTGGGCGCTGAAAAAACAGGATTTTGGCACAGGGTCTGAAAAAAACGTAGGTGGAAGATTCAGGTATGCTGTTGGGTTGCAAAGCTGGGTTAATATACATATACATACATATTGATATACATTGATATATATATATATATATACATATTGATATATATATATACACAGTAAATATATTCATATATATTGATATATATATATACATATATATTGATATATATATATATATATTGAGACATATTGAGATACATATTGAGATATATATTGAAATATACATTGAGATATATATTGAGATATATATTGAGATATATATTGAGATATATATTGAGATATATATATATTTTGGGATACATATATTTTGAGATACATAGTGGTGTATATATATATTGATATATATATATTGAGATATATTGAGATACATATTGAGATATATATTGAGATTTACATTGAGATGTATATTGAGATATATATTGAGATATATGTTGAGATATATATTGAGATATATATATATATTTTGAGATACATATATTTTGAGATACATTTATATATATATTGATATATATATATATATAGATATATATAATATATATATTGACATATATGGACATATACTGATATATATATATATCTATTGATATATGTTGATATATATATATACATGTATTACATATATATATATGTGTGTGTTGATATGTATATATATATATATTGATATGTATATATATACATTGATATATGTATATTGATATGTATATATATATACATTGATATATGTATATATTGATTTATGTATATATATTGATATATAATGATATATATTGATATATCTTAATTGATAAATTTTGATATATATTGAGATATATTGAGATATATTGATACATATTGAAATATATTGATAGATATATATATTGATATATATATATTGATATATATATATATTGATATATATATTGATATATATTGATATATATTGATATATATTGATATATATTGATATAGCAATATTCATATATATATATTGATATATATATTGATATAATATTGATATATATATATATATTGATATATATTGATATATATTGATATATATTGATATATATTGATATATATTGATATATATTGATATATATTGATATATATTGATATATATATATATTGATATATATATATATATTGATATATATATATATATATTGATATATATTGATATATATTGATATATATTGATATATATTGATATATATATATATATTGATATATATTGATATATATATATATTGATATATATTGATGAATATTGATATATATATATTGATATATATTTTTATATATTGATATATATTGATATATATATATATATATATTGATGAATATTGATATATATATATTGATATATATTTTTATATATTGATATATATCAATATATATATATATTGATATACATTGACATATATATATATTGATATACAGTGATATATGTATATAGATACATATATATTTATTGAAATTTATAGATATTGAGATATATATTGAGATATACATTGAGATATATATTGAGATATATATTGATATATATATATCAATATATATATATATTGACAAATATATTGATGTATATATATATTGATGTATATAAATATATATATTTATGTAGTGATATATACATATATATATATGTATAGTGATATAATATATGTTTGATATACATTGATATATATTGACATAAATTGATACATTATGTATTGATATATATATATATAGTGATATCTTTCCGCGAATTCCTGAAGTCATTCTGCCTTCCATTCCGGATGTCTCCACACTGTCAAAGTCCGGATGTCTCCACATTTTGTCCAGTTTGGAATGACAATTCAAAGCTCCATCACAAACCAGCCGAAGCATAAGCCACCAACCACTGCTGAAAATAGAGGGGATTGTACCTGCGCCGGTAAGTTGAAGTGCCTCGAACTCCAGAGCTGGAAAATTCATGGTTTTCCATCTGGTTTCAAGAAAGGTTTTACTGGTCTTATCCAAAGTATCTGGGATGAAATAATTCTGCTTTGCCATGAAAATTCGAGTTTCACTTGAGATCTGGTCCCCCTCGCAGACCAAGGCTTTGGTAGGGGTTCTTTGACAATCTCAGATCCAAACATAAAATGAGAAAGACATGAATACCAGGCAGCAATTGGTCTGTCAGCTGGGAATGGCTCGATAATGGGGTACCAATCCCACGCACAAAATCAGTAGCTCCTTGTGTCAATCCGTCCAAATTCCGGGTGAAATATCAATCTCTAGGTTCTGGTCCCTCATCTTGCTTCCATTGCTCAAAATCATTCGAAAGAAGAAAACTAAAACGTGGCAACCATCCAAACCATCATAAACCATCAAAAAACATCCAACCATCGCCCCATGCCCCGCTTCAATGACCCCGAGACAACGCTGCCTGCATCGCCACGGTCGAGCTGGCTGCGCTGGTGGCATCATCCCTATGGCCTGTGCAGCTTGAAGGGTCATCCAGTGAGACCCACAGGCAAAATGAGAGTTGTATATTGTACATTATAAATATATATTTATATATACAGATTATACGGACGGACGGATGATATGCAATGTAATGCAATGTAATGTGATGTAATGTGATGTAATGTAATGTAATGTGATATCATGGTACTGGTAATGGTAATGGTACTGGTAATGGTATGGATTGGTATGGTATGTTTGTATGTTATGTGTATATGCATATGTATATATATATGTGTGTATGGATATGTAAGTATTTGTGAATGTCTATGTATACCTATGTATATCTATGTATGTATATATATATACATGTATATCTATATAAGTATATCTACGTATAACTACGTATATCATCGTATATCTACGTATATCTATGTATATCTATGCATACCTATGTATATCTATGTATACCTATGTGTATCTATGTGTATATATATATACGTGTATATCTAAGTATATCTACGTATAACTACGTATATCTACGTATATCTATGTATACCTATGTCTATCTATGTGTATATCTACGCATATCTATGTATATCTACGCATATCTACATATATCTACGTATATCTATGTATATCTATGTATATATTTGTAGATATGTGTATATCTATATATGTAAATCTATGTATATCTATGTATATCTAAGTATATCTATTATGTAAATTATGCATATTTATGTATATCTATGTATATCTATGTATATCTATGTATATCTATGATTATTTATGTATATCTATGTATATCTATGTATGTCTATGTATGTCTATATATGTCTGTGTATGTCTATGTCTATGTATGTATTTTTTATATGTACGTATATCTATGTATGGTTGTATTTAGGTATTCAGGGATTCAGGTATTCATGTATTCATGTAATGTATGTATTAGTGTAATGTATATATGAATGTAATGTAATGATGAAATGAAATGAAATGAAGTAAAGTGAAATGAAATGAAATACATGTATATATGGATGGATGGATGGACGGATGCATGCATGCATGCATGCATTCATGTATGTATATACAGTACATTTATGTTCCAATTCTAAAATTGGGCTCGCAGTTTGCCTGTTGTATACATACTTGTGTCATCCCTTTCTCCTTTCATAAAGAAATATATATATATATTACAGTAGATGGTGATGTAAGAAGGAATGACTTGGCATTAACCAACTAATTATCAAGAGCTGGATTTATCCATGTTGAACAGGTACGTAGACAAGAAAACATGTGGGGATGGAATCGGATATAATGGGATGTAATGGGCTATATCACCAACAACTTGATCTCGGGTATGTACAGTATATAGAAATGCCCCAGATCGAAACCCGTGGTGAGATGTTCTGGCCCTATTCATGAACTCGAGGCCCATCGTATTGAAGGTATTTCATGTGATCAAAGGATAGTATTTGTTTTGAGGCAAAGCGTTGTCATGAGACTTGCAGGGACTTTCCAAGTGGCAGTCTTGCAGTCACTTCGACCCCTGACGACCCGAGATCCGAGAATGGTCGCTACGGTGTCCCCTGACCACATCAGACCAGCGTTGTTCTTAAAGCAAAGATCGCAGCAACATTTCATGAAGCCACCACAATGCTATGGCTGCTATGGGTCAAACATGGACCCAACCACCTGGTGAAACGGTCGCTCAAAAAATGCTCACTGCTTTGAATCCTGAGGATTCCCTAAAATGTGACCAGCTTGCAGAATTCCATAAAATGAGTCTCATTTCTTAAAAATAAATCTAAACTGATGAGCCACTCTGTGATTGCCATGGATTCCTGGTGCCATGCCTGGACACCCATGGACCACGCCTGACTCGGACGCCAAGTCAACTTGGAGCTCTGGCGCCTGACAGGCCAGGGCACCCCGTTTGGCACAGCTCGGGCACGGCTCGGGCACAGCTCCAGTTTCACTGGATCAACCAGGAAGAAATTTCTCAGTCCAAGTGTGTGTTCCACGGTGTGTTCCACGGTGTGTTCCACGGTGTGTTCCACAGTGTGTTCCACGGTGTGTTCCACGGTTGAACCCACTCCATGCTATTGCCTAAGCCTCTTCAAAGCATCAACGGTTCTACTGCCTAAGCCTGATCTTTCAATTTCTTTGACAGGTGATACACTCGACCTGACCACTAATCCCATCCCCCCAATATTAAGCACTCCCTAAATGGTCCCAACTATGTGTAGATCCTATTAAAGCATAGCTCCCGGGGGATTATTCATACTATCGGGCTGAAGGACCCCACCCCAGCCTGAGTTGCTCCCTGTAGCCGCTTTAGCTGAGGGAAAGCAGACAAAATGCCACCAGGATTGTTCTGGCCGTGAGTCGAGGGCCATACGGTACCCAATTTGAACCCATGGCAATTTCCGGGGGATGGTAACTCAAGCGAAAAGCAATTGCTTCGTATTAGAAACCCCATCACGCATACAACTGGCACACCAAGGAGCCATGTCCCACTACACTCACCAAGTTGCGAGCGGCAACGTCCATGCCATGACGATCCATGACGTGTGGCAACTCACCTGTTGCAACCTGGGCATCCAGCCTCCGGGTCTGGGATTTCTTGCAACAGCTGGCGAAAAGGTAGGTGGGCCTGCCGAGATTCCGAGATGGCGTCTTCAACCAGGGTCCAATCGGGAAGGTTCTTCGGATTTACGTGGTCCCAGATAGAATTATTGTGAAACAGCATTGAAACAGCAGGACACCAACTATTTCTACCAGCTCTAGTTACCCACCCAGTAAACTAGCAGAACTATGGAAAATCCCTCATGTTCATAGCAAATCAACGAACTAAATGGACCATCTATACCATAGCTATGTCACTACGTCCAGGCCCACCTCATTCATGAGGCTGTCCAGGTTCAAGCAGGACCTGGTAGAGTGAATTCCCCGCTGGCTGTTTACTCAGATTTTTGGTACCGCTGTTCGATCAAGATGGTACATTTGTAAATATAGTTTGATATCAAAGTGTCACCATATTAGTATAGTATACATATATATATATATATGTATCTGTATGTTCGTGTAGATATATATATACACATATCAAATCAACAGTACTTCATCACAAGTTTGAGGTTCCATCTGCATGGACATAGGATGCAACACTACTCTACAATCATCCAATTTCCAGGTGGTGTTGAAATTGCGTGCAGAATGGTATCTTAAACATCCGACTTGATGTAAAGGATGTTGAAGTTGAAGATTGACACACACCTACTTCTTTCAGTCTACACTGTCACCTATCCCTTAATGTCTCAGTGGGACACTCCCGAAATCCAGCAAAGCACGAGAGGGCCAAGATCCGGAACCCAAGGAATAGGTCGCAGTTTGTACTCGGTCACTATCAGATACCCACACATGTTGGTTAATATCCCCGTGTTCATTCGTATATCCATGGTGATGGTCTTTAAATCCCAATCCAACTTGTTTACTATTAAAACTGCATCTTCTGCTGGTTACAGTTCTATGAACCTGTATTATGTTTGCTGGAAAAACTCCCTTGTTTGCCATCACTGTAAATGCCCCAAAAAAAAAAACTGACGCACGTCCGAGGGTTCGCCTGTCATCGTTGGGGGATGCCTAGGCCGGCAGATGTTGATCCCCGAGCCACATCCTTTTGATGGGCCTTTTGATGGGCCTTTTGATGGGCCAAATGGGATCAGTTTACCTAAAAAACACCAAATAGATGAGGATATCAACTTCAACCACAAACACTTCGGATGAGTACATTGGTACATCAATATTCCTCAGGATTCGGAACTCTCAGAATTGCAGAGGGTGTGACATGTTGTGGCCGTGTTTTTATCATCTGCAACCATCCTAATGCGGTCCATTGAAGCAGAACTTGGGAAACAAGACTTGTAAGATCCTACAATTTCTATTGAAACCGGCCCTCTTTTTGAACTGACTTTCATAGTTCGGAGTTCAAAACCTTGGCACCCTGTAGACGCCAGCGTCTTGACCCCCACAGTAAGGTCAGGGATGGGAAAGTTGACACCCCAAAGGATCCAATGATACCGTGAGGAACCTGAGAAACTGCCAGGAAACCCCCACAAAGCGGGCCTACATAGTTAAATTGGTGTATAACTATACGGGTGAACTACGGTTTATGGTACATATATCTGTAGTGAACAGGTTTTATAAACCTTTTTTTTTTACTACGGGGTACAACCGTGTAAGAACCCTGATGCAGCATCGGCTGACCAGTTACAGGGCTGAGATTCTCGTGATCACGAACACCCGTCCACGTTGCCTGGCCGTTGAACATAGTTTGTCTTGCTGATCTATATGTCTAATATGTAGATCTATGTATGAGATTGTACCTGTATCTAGATATGGCCAATTGTAGACATGTATGTGTATAAGTGTGTATGTGTATAATTATATATACCCTCCGGTAAATTAACATAGACCCTGGCAGATAGGGGTTGGAAGATTAGTTTCCACTAAAAATTGGTCATTTTCAGGGTCTATGTTTATTTACCATAGGATATATACACACTTTCCAGGTGTTAAAACCAAATACCAGGTGAGCCCCTCACAACCCGAAATATCATCCACTGGGGGCCTTGGGGAACCTGGGGAACCTTGCTGTAGCTAACTCGTTGAAAGTTCTATGAAGTCCATCCGAAATTTGGTCGTTTGTGGAGAGCAACCTCCTAAAATCTGGCGATTTAACATGAAATATCATTCAAATCTGTATGCAATGGATCTATTATATATATATATATGTATATCTAATATTTATAATTTATATATATATATATGTATATATTTATATATTTATATATTCATATATATCTATATATTTCTATATTTATGTATATATATATGCATACATGTTATTTATATTTTTTATTTATTTATATTTAAATATGTTTTTATACTTAATATTTTATATATGTGTACATTTAAATAGTTGTATATTTATATATTATATATTCATATATTTGTATATATATATACATAAACATGTTTTTGATAAATTGTTAAGTTTGCACATTTCTTTCTGTACATATTTTTATATGTTGATTTTGATATATTTATATTTTTATAAATTTATTTGTCTATATATTTTGATATACAGTATATTTATATATTGATATATTTATATATTTAAGATAGTTGTATATTTATATGTTTATATTTTTCTACTTTTTATTTATATAATTATCGACGGAAGTTTAGAAGTTCAAACTTCCGACAATATGGACAAATGGAAAAGCAGAGGTGGGAAGAGTCAGAGAAGAGAAGAAAAAAGAATATCAGAGAAGAGAAAGAGTCAGAGGAAAGAAAATATAGGTGCGCGAACAGGTAGAAAAGTCGCGATTCACTGGGTTTTTTCAATGATTTGTGGCTCCGGAGGGTCGAAAAGTAGGCTCCCTAAAGCGGCGGGTGCGGAGCCCGCTGGCCAGATGAGAGATGAAAAATTGCACGCCGTTGTGGCGCGAAGCACATTTGCAAGTGAAAAAGCTAAAAACATTTCACGTTCCGACCACTTTTGGAAGTTGACATGTCCAAAAAGTGCACGCCGTTGTGGCGCCAAGCCCATTTCCCAAGTCTAAATGTACAAAACACACCATTCTCAGACCACTTTTGGAAGTTGACATGTCCAAAAAGTGCACACAGTTGTGGCGCGAAGCACATTTCCAAGTCAAAATGTACAAAACACACCATTCTCAGACCACTTTTGGAAGTTGACATGTTGAAAAAGTGCACGCCGGTGTGGCACGAAGCACATTTCCAAATCAAAAGTGCAAAAAACTGACGGGCATGGAGCACTTTTGGATGTTCAGACGTCGTTTCGAGTGGCCGGTGCTGTACGTTGTCACAGTGAAAAAAAAAAACGTGAGGCTTTTGCAGAAATTTCAACTACAACCACCACTACGCTCCACTACACTACTGTAGGCTACACTACAACTACAACTACGACTACGACTACAACTACACTAATTACATTTCACTACGCTACACTCCACACCACTACACTACACTACCTACAACCACAACTACAACTACACTACAGCTACAAACTTCAACTACACTACATTACACTACACTATACTACACTCAAGTACACTATGCACTTCACTACAACTACAACGACAACTACAACCACGCTACAGCTACAACTTCAACTACACTACATTACACTACACTACACTAATTACACCGCACTTCACAACACTACACTACACTTCACTACACTACACTACACTATACTACACTCAATTACTCAACACTACAGCACACTACACTGCACTACATTACATTGCGCTACACTCATTACACCACACCACAACTACAACTGCAACTGCACCAGAGCAATTACACTACACTACAACTACAACTACAGCTGCACTACACCACACTACATCCAGCACTTGTGGGTGAGGTGACCACTGCAACCATTGCAGCCACTCCAAAAGACACGACTCCAACCACCTTTCGGTCCATCAGTGGATTCGCTCTGCCATCCATGCATCACAACAACTCAACTCTCTTGTAGTGTCCTATCGTTGAAACTTCCGCCACCGCCTTGTGCGGTACCACTGGTATATTTATATATCTATATAATTATATATTTATATTTATATATTTACATATTTATGTTTCTATTTCTAAGTTTATATATACTTATACTTATATATATATATGTATTTATATATTTATATGTTTATATGGTTATATTTGTATGTATATATATATAGAGAGTCTTGTATATACATTATATCTTATATATGTTATATTTTATTATATACACATTAGAAATAACATCCCCTGCGAAATCAGCTCGCACCTCAGGTGCATGTCGCGCCATCGATGCCACCTCGGCACTTTTATTTTGGCGAAGGACTTGTTCGGTGGGCTCGCTGGGAAATCCCCCAACTACATGGGCATCGCTATATATATATATTATTATTATTATGTTTATTATTATTATAGTGGCAATAACAATAGCAATATATAATAAGATAATATGATAATTCTGATAATAATGTGATAATAATATTATGAATAATCATAATAACAATAATATGATAATTCTGATAATAAAAAATAACAATAATAAGATGAATAGCAAGATGAATAATAATAATATTGATAATATACAAACCAGTTATTGATATGGAAATCCCCATCAAGAATGGAGGTGTCACAGTAATAGCAAAATCATGGATAAAAATGTTCCAAGGTAAAACATAAGCCAGAGAAGACGACCATAGTTCCTATAAACAGAGTCTTCTTGTGGTTCCATATTTGATCTGGACTTGCACTACATAGCATTACCATCTGATCCAATACATTTAAAATCTCCAAGCGACTAACAGTCGACCCTCACCCAGAGTAGCTTTCAGGCCCCAAGCTTGCTCTTTATCTTTTCCCCTACTTGGGGCTGCATCCCACTTCCCAAGTGCTTGCGAAATGTTGATAACCCATGCAAAATGGGGTATATCGGTATATCCCACACCTGCAATTAACTGAACGGTTTTTTGGCGTGCTACCCATTTGCCTGGGATGCACATGAGTCGCCCAAGCTCCTGGCACCTGCCGAAAGATCCGAGGAGAGCCTGAAAAAGCACTCCGAGACCAAGGACGGACCAGGGAAAGGAAAATCACACCATCTTAGAATCATAAAGAAAGCTACACACTTACTACAAATCATGTGCTTTCTGAATCTGAGGTGTGGCCATATGTTGCGAGTACAACTCATTCTCGACAAATGTGCAGACTCGCAAAGGTGCTATGGTTCACCTGTAATTACTGTGCCCATCATAGTCATCTCAAGTATCGCCAGATCCATCAAGAATTCTCTGGCGCTCTGGAACTCCACCTTTCCACGAATGGCTCCCAAGGCAAGCATGCCCCGGCTGTTCGTCCATTCTTTGCTTCAAAACGAATCAGTCAGGCTATCTTCCCGACCCGTGTCGTTTCTCCCTTGACATTACCTTTTTGAAAAGATCAGAAAGGATCCATATGCTGGAATCATTAGAACTCTCCCCATTCTTGTTGTTGGTTCCAACTTTTGCTGCTGTTGGTTAAGTGAGATTCTTGCTGTTGAAATTCCCCAATCTTGGCTGTCAGATTCCCCAACATCCCGCAGCCTTTTTAAGCTTTGAGCCAGCTCCGTTGCCAGGAAAAGGCTTCCCCGATGGCCCTGGCAAGCCAGGAATCAGGTTCACCGGACTATCCCAAAATGGATGGTTTACAATGGAAAAGCCATGAAAATATGGATGATTTGGGGGTAACCCGTCTGACTTTGGAAACCTCCATATATTGATATCTTTGGCTGATCTTTGCTAATCCATCCCCCTTTTCTCGAGGTGCAAAAAAAAAATACCCAAACATTGCGAAGAAGCCGCATCTCCACTACTAAGCTGGTCTACCAAAGGTTGGGATACTCCAATGTGGATAGTGCAGATCATCAATATATATATATACAACTAGACCTCACCCTCATGAAACACCAATGCTTGATGGTTGGATGGTGGTTCAATCCTCATCAAAGGATTAATATCATGTGGTCGTGCGATAACAATGTGTCTATGATCGAGACCAATGGTTCACTCTCACACTGCCCCATGGGGAATCCCCCAAATACCATTTTGATTGCCATTAACCATCACTCTTTCAGGGTTCTGAGCTCAAGGCATTTGCTTCATCAATGGCTTCCTTCTTTTCCTGCTGAGCATGGGCTCCAAACAGCAGCGAATGGTGCCCCAAATCCCGTGCACATCAAGATGTAGTAGTTTGCATATGTTTGCATTAGCAACCCAAAGAAAGGGCCACCAGGGACCACTCGAGAATTCTGCTCGCCGCTCTGTGAAGTGTTCGAAGACACTCCTCTTCCACCCGGTCCAGTCCTCATCTACGAATTTCTCCTGCTCAGAGCAGACTCTAAGGACTCTAAGGACCCAATTTTGGACAGAATCGATTCGTGTGTGTGCTAGTCTCAACGTAGTCTCACCCCTCACCCTTTTTCGGCATCGATGGCGCGTCAGCTCGTCCCTCTCCTCACCCTCCTGAGTCACCAAAACCTCGGGTCAATCCACAAGATCAAATGTGGAGGGTTTGAGACGGTTTGAGACTACCTCTTCCCCTCCTTCGTAATGAACACCCCCCAGAAAACTTGCGTTAGTAGCGTTAGTATTGAAGTGTCTGTCAAGTGGATGGCATTCCTGCAAATGACACACATGTTGTGGGCTTACTGGGTACTTCTGAGCCATACCAAATTGAGGAGTCACCGGAACTTGAACAGAAGTAAACCAGGTGATCTTGGTGAGACCTATCCCATAGAAGGCTATGGCGCTATGGCTCAAAATGATGCACTTTTTATGTTGGATGAATCGGATTCGGTGTAGCTGAGCATTCCCACCGTAGATTGGATTGAGTCCTGTCCGGGACCACGTCCAAACGGGGGAAGCAAACAGTAAACTCAAGATGGGAACACGTGAGAAATCTGGACGTGGACTCTTGGAGCCTTTGGTTGGATCATGTTGGATCATAACCCCAAGTTGAAGAAATCCCCCGATTTTCAACGGAGAAAAAAAAAAAACGAACTGTCACCATCCCTGTCCCTAGAGGGCGGTGTTCTCGCTTCCCTTGGCTCAAAGGACCAAAGGTTGGCGACCTGGCAAATCCCGTTGCCCCAAAATGTTCGGGCCCCAAAACGATTGGCCCAAAAACAGCATGTTTATACCTATGTTGTACATCTGTATGTATATATATATACATACATCACTGTAGTTGCAGAAAAAGGACCAAATATTTGGCCAAGTGATTTACAAGCTATGGACGGTTCACCAGTCGTTTTGTAAAATCAACCAGGTTCTCTTGGAAAAGTACGAATTTGTTGTTGGCTAGGCCTTGTTAGTCACTCAAAAAAGGTTGGATGGTTTAGTAGTGAAAATGACCAGTCCATCTGTATACCCTGGGCCGAAAACCATTTTTGAGGCGTATCCGTTTCTGCTTGGGCTATGGCTCCGTTGGTGACTCCGTTGGGCTATGCCTCCTGACCATGATTTGCCACCAATTTCATAGATAGGGATTTGGCCTCCAAAATTAAGCGTTCCTCTCGGAACCCTCAAAGTTGGGTCGATCCAACGTGGTTTTTTTCTCCCCAACAGTCACCAGGCAGATTGATAAAGCCCAGGCAGTAACTCATGGTTAATAGATGTTAATAGTGGTGATTAATCATGGTTAATGTTACTGGGATCCATCATGATCCATCAAAAAAAACCTCTGATTGAAGGATTTGGGTCACACCTAGTTCCGACCCAGAAATCATCGAGCGTCACAGCACCCCTTCACTGAGACTCTCCAGGAACGAGGCTCTCTGTCTGGAGACCTGGCACGCCGAAAGGCAACGCGGCAACCAGCGGGGAAACGAAGCAACTGGCCTAGGGTATGTGTATATAATATAATATTACTATATATATATGTATGTATATGTATATGTATATATATATATATATGTATATATATATGTATATATATATATATGTATATATATATATATATATGTAGCCAAGAATATGATATTTGGGTTTATCTGAAAATAGGGGATACCCGGGATACCCCCAGCTATGGCCAAGTGCGGAAGGGAAACTGATGATTTTTCCATATCGCTGGCCAAGCGGCAAGGCGGTTCCTTCGAACAACAAGCATCAAGGAACATGCGGAATGCATCCATTGAGAATTGGATTTTGTTCCACAAACACGTAACGTATGGATATAACAACAAGATGTAATGTGTAATATTGTGTAAACATCACGGGAAAATCCTGCGACCCTGCAACCACCATTTTTTACGCGATTGGGACAGAAAACGTGATTGGGATGTTGAGATCAGCAAGGAATATCGTAAAAAAAATAACCTCTGCCACCAAGAGCGCCGCAAAACCACAACGTGTAGTATTTTTTTGGCTTTTGGGGCATCATTGGATAAGTCTTCATTGGACTGCTGGGTCCTTCACAAGGGGGCCAGGAGTTTAAGAAGCATGTTCACCTCTCGACGTCTTATTCAAGGTCAACAGCAGTTTTCTTCACATAGTTGCTCATGAAGCAAACATCTAAGAGATTGACAACTAAGGAGTGGCCCAAACCTATAATGCTTAGCAAATTTAAACGTTGATGTTTTTGTTTCTTTGGATGGCTGTGAATGGGACTACTTGTCCTTTGGGAAGGGGGCTGGAGTTTACTGCGGTTTACTAAACATTTTGGTGGGTGAGACACTGGTGCTTTGGCAAGAACGCATGTCGTTTACCAAGCGTTTGGTCGGTAAGACGCTCAATTCCATAGTGATATCGGAAACACAACTAATCAAAATTACAAAAACAAATAAACCTTAATAGGGTGTCCATCTATCACTAAACAGTTTGCAAGGTTATGCCATGTTCAAAGTAAGCCTTAGTAGTCCTGGTGGTTTGGGGAGGCTCTTGTCTTGGTGGCAGAATAGATGTCAACTTTCCAGTTGACCCCAGATGTTTGAAAAGTAGAATGGCTTTGGGATGTGTTCTTTCATCATCCCGGGCTGTTTGGATGATGAACAACAATGTTTAATCTTTGCTATATAAACGCTAAACATTTGAGGATATCTCATGTCATTCCATATGTTCAATGGACGAAGATACCAGACGTATAATCTTTACTAGAGGTGTTGCCTTTTTGCCAAAACCAAGATCTCCGGTAAGTGTTTATGAAACACTTTGTCATCTTGCCCCATCTAGATTGGACCCTTCACTCGGTCAAGCCACCACATAAAGCCAAAAATTGCGTACTAACATATGTATATGTATATAGATGCGTACATGTGTATGTATGTATGTATGTATGTATGTATGTATGTATGTATGTATGTATGTATGTATGTATGTATGTATGTATGTATGTATGTATGTATGTATGTATGTATGTATGTATGTATGTATACGTATAGATATACATATAGATATACATATAGATATACATATACAACTATTCAAATAACAATATATATACATATAAAACTGTATGTATTCAGCTATGTATATATATATAATCATGTATATATGTTATGTAACTGTATGTTTATGTGTATATAATATATATATATGTTTTATACATATATGGTAACAATCAATCAGCACCCCAGAAATCAGGACCTGCCTGGGACCCTCGAACGGCATCACCTGAAATCATCGTTCGCTGAATCCGTCCCCCCTTCCTTCGCTCTGAAGGGACCTTGAAAAACCTCCGAATCTGAAGGCGTTATCTGAAAATATGCTAATTGCATCATCAGTTTCCACATGAATATGGCTGAATATGGGGTCATTCTGAAAATAGTGCACACCCCAATTCCAATGAAAAAATCATCATTTCCCTCACTAAAAAGCCATTTAGGGGTATCCCCCACATTCAGACAAGCCGTGACAAAGCCAAATATCATATTCTTGGTCATATTGTATAGTCTCTACCCCTATCTTATCCCATTAACCCATCATCCCCCATTCAAACATAGCACAGGAAAAACGGCACCAAGGCGCTGGGAGGCGACGGCGAAGGCTCACCTTTGTGGACTAGGTCACCTGGCTGAACTTCATGGATTCCTGGGTTAATTGGCATAAGATTATGTTAACCAGCCATGGTTATAAGACTATATCAATTAATAAGTGGTATAAATCATAAATGGATGTTGTTAAGTGATAAATGGACCCAAGATGGAGAATGGGATATCTTGATGATTAATGGTTTTTTAACGGGATATAGTGGATACCAATATGGTTAGTAATGGTGAGTAGTGGCTAGTAATGAATATTTGATAGGATATCTAATGGATACCTTCCGGTGTCATCAAACATGGCTAGCTGGGAATCCCTGAAAATCATCCAACTACCGATTGCCAAAGGGTTGATATTATACATAGACAGGTAGAGAGCTAAATAGAGGTGGAGCTAGAGATAGAGATAACAAATATCTCTTGTGATAGTATTGATTGCAATATGATGGTAAATGAAACCATTATGAGAATAAATTGGGTATCTGGGCATTATCGCAATAGATTGTAGAGGATACCAAAATGGATATGGATAAATGATGGCATTGTGAGAGCATTAAGTAGTTGCAAGTTTCTGATGGCATATGTATATATGTATATGTATATATATATATATAATGGGCCCGGTAAATGGGGAAAAACATATACATCCACATATCAAATGTTGCACCAAAATGACCGAACCTTTGGGTCACTGGTCTTAAACTGGATCTCACTTCTGTCACGTGTCACACCCTCCGCCCGAGCCCCAGTCGGGGGAAAGCGCTGATGGCCCCACCAATGGATTTCTATATCCATTATTGGTTCATATTATACTATGGTTTATTGGTTTATTTTATCAAATAGATATATACATATATATATGTATATATCGAATAGATATACTAACCAATTTACTGGAGGGTAGGCGGAATTCCCTTCTAGTCTTGCCTTACTGAGAATTCGATTCCGCCAGGATGTCGAGTTTTCCGACTTTGAATCATCAACCCTTTGGCTATTGCTCAAAATGATTGACACCTCAAATTGGATGGGAGTCCTAAAACTTGCCGGCACCCATCAATAGGTCGCAAACCCATTAATTATCATTGTAGTCACTAATCGTTCATAGGTATATACTGTAGGTTCAGACCCCCTCCCCACATCTTTTGGTGAAGTCCCATATGTTCTGCTGTTTTGCTAGTTAAAGTTTATCTTCCCATTCGATCCCCAATTCTCAGATCACCTATGTATGTATATGTGTGTATGTATGTATGTGTATGTGTATGTGTATATATGTACATATATATATATATTTATATATATATATATATATATGTATATATATATGTATATTTACATATATATATATATATATGTATATGTACATGCATGTGTATATGTGTACATGTGTATATGTGTATATGCATATATATATATATATACTGTGAGTGGTTGGAACCTCACACTGGCAGCTGCAATCTCCGGATCCACCTCCAAAGGCAAAAAGCGGCTCACGGCCTTTTTCCCCTTCACGGCACACAAATCCTGGGCAACACGGTAAGGAGACAGGCAGTCTCTTCCCGGCAACGGTTATGGTCCTTGGACCTCCAGTGAATGGGCAAGTCACCCAGCTATGAATGGCCCCCTGGCCAAATTGGTGAAGCGGCCTCGCTTCCAAGCTTATGGCTCAGCACGGATGATTTCCCACCCACCTTCAACCCTGGGCCCTCCGGAGCCACGTGTGCTTTGGAAACAAGTGCTGTGTAAACCCCGGGTTTTTGGTAAACATCCTTTATGGGTGGTTTCTTCCATGACCCCGCAATGATGTAGAATCACACTCCCAAAAAACTAAAATCTTCGAGAAAGCAAACATCATTGCAGCCTGAGCCATGCTGATTGGTGGATTCACCTTTCAGCCATCGAAGACGGTTTCGGGATGACGCGCGGTTTTTCAGGACCTCCAGTTCATCATGAAGTTTATAATGGCCTAATCTAAGGGTCTCCCTTAGGAAGGTATTCTCCATTATTTTGGTGAGAGCATCTGCTAGCTGGGCCCCGCTGTGTACCCATCTCAGTGCTACTCCCTCAGATAATAAGTCCTTGATGGATCGCGCGGTCAATTGCGTCCGAAACTCTGTACAACTAGGCACGGCAGTGCGGGTAACGAGGTCATACAGAGACTTGCAGTCTGTGGCGGCAAAACTTTCTGGCAATTCCTGTGCTTTCATAGTGGCAGTGGAGTATGTTTCGGGGAGATTTTGGAATGCAAGTTTGGGATTTTTCCATGGTACTTTTGGGTCTAAGATCCATGCCCAACACTGTCTTATCCAGGAGAGTTGGTCTAATACTGTATTCAGCGACGTGGTTTCGGCTGCAAGAGTACTGGTTACAACACGCTGTACTTTCTTACAGCCCCATGAAATCGGATTGACAGGACACTTGGTATTGTTACCGATATCTCTATGGGTAGCCATTACTATGGAACCAGTATGGGAATTGGGGTTACTCTTTGATGCAAACGAGGCGTCCGAAAAGGCAAGGAATCTGAGATCTGCTGTGGCAATTGGTTGAATCTTGATGGTCACATCATGATGTTTCTTGGCTTCGTGGAGAGCTTGATTTGCTGTTATGAGGGTTTCGATTGTTGCTCGGTTAATGGCTGATTGAAGGATGCTTAATCTGCTGGATAAATCTGGTCTGGTGTGGACGGATGCGTATTGTAGGCTTCCAATGAGAGCTCTCAATTGTTGTCTTTCTTCTTCAGTGACAGGTGATTCACTCTGTTTTCTGCGTTCTTGTGAAATCTTGATGGGTTCAATGGCTCGAATGTATTTGGATTGTGACAAGTGAATCGTTCCTTCAGGGGTCTGTTGCATTTCAATACCAGTGAAAGTGAATTGACCTACCCTTTTTGTCCCGAAAGGATACTTCTTCTCCAGTAACCTCAGTTTTTCATGAAAATGAGAGTTTCCTGCACATAGGCCATCATCGACATGAAGTCCAAGAATTCCGTCAAGCTGTAGATTTTGTGGATTTCTCAGAGTAAACAAACAGGGGTCGAATGGTGACTGTTCAAAACCCAAATTGATAAGTTCTTCAAGGATGGCTTGGAACCACATGTATGGTGCATCCACTAACCCGTATGCCCCTTTTCCCAATTTGCATATCTCTTGGGATGAGAGTTTCATCATTTGAATGATTTCCGCTACGGGTTCAATGGCAAGTACCCGATCCTTCTGATTTTTGCCCTGTAAAAACGCAGCTTTTATATCAAATGATTGAAGATTCCATCCATTGGATGCTATTGCTTGGAGCAGTAACATTTTTGAATGCCTACCCAGGGTGGGGGAATCACGGGGAACTTCTGCTATTTTTGGATCTAGATATCCCAAAATTACCAGTCGGGCTTTTGCCTTATGGTTTTTGGTTCCCTGAAGTTGCTCTTTTTCTTGATCATCAATTGGTTTCCATGTCAAAATCCAACGGCATCTAAGGATCTGGTCGGGTGGAACTTGGTCCCTCATGATTCGGGATATGGTGCCAGTTTTCAACCAGTTTTGAATTTCATTTTCCTTGGCTCTTTGAAATTCTGCCCGTTCTTTGGGTCCCAGTGTCGTGAGTTTGACTTCTGCTCTTTGTCTTTTTGCGGCAGTGGCTAGAAAACTACATTCTTGGGGCTTATCTTCCCGTTTCCAATTTTCAACATCACTCTCGGTCACATAGATTTCGCATTGCCATGCCTGATTGGCTTCGGGTTGAACGGACTCTGGCTCCATGTCCTCGCAGTGAAGGCCTTCACACACCAAATCATCATCATCCAAACTTTGTGGTATTGGTGTGTTTTGTGCAACATGCTCTCGCATCATGTCTTGTTCTGGATTCAGAACATTCGGGTGTGTGGTTTCCGCCTCGTCTGGAGCAGGAGTCGTGTTTGTCTGACTCCCCATTGGTGATTGACTGCTTCCTGTCGCTCCCGGCTCTGCATCCGGTTGGATTTCAGAATGGCTTTCAGAGTCTTGAATGGTCGGTGGAAGTGGGTTATTTTCTTGTTGATCAGGTACAGGGTTATGAGGTGGAGGTAAGGTTACATCAGGTGTAGGACTATTGATGGGGTTATTTTGCATGGCATTCTGAAGTTGAGGGGCAAGCTGCTGAGCAATCTGTGACACCGATGGTGCGTTGGGAAGCATCACAATCCCTTTGGCCTCCATTGCGGAAACGGGTCGAACATGCTCTGGTGCGGCACGATAGAGCTTGGCTGCCATCGTCGTCCATACTGTTTGTGAGTTTTCATGCACTACTACTTTCATGGGACCTGTCCATTGGTCGGGATAGGCTCCTTTCCCTTGTCTCCAAACCATTACCCATTCTCCCGTTAAGTACTTCCGGGGTTCCCCTTTAGACTTACGGAGTACTGATCGTCGTAGTGCTGCATCATGATCAGTCTGGACAAATGCCTTTCGAGCACTCTCACGCCGGGCCAATTGCAATCGGAACTGTACGCCTTGGGCCGACTCTGAATCGGCAAGCATGTGGGCAGGCAAAAGTTCGTCACTGCAGTTGGAACCTGGCAGCCTTGTCTGCTTACCTAACACAAGGATTTCTGGCGAAAAACCCTTTCGGATGCTATAGGCATTTTTGGCCTGAACACACCACCAAAGCCCTTGTTTGAGGTCATGATATGTGTGTACTGCATGTTCTGACTCGTACTTGGTCAACATGGATTGCAGTATGGATCCGTGTCTTTCGGCCTTGCCATTTTGGAAATGAGCTTGTGTGCTGATGGTCGTCATGTGGATATTGTGTGCCTGTGCAAAGTTGGTGACTTCTTCAGAATTGAGTTCTGTGCCGGCATCTATGACCATCTCATGAGGTGTACCGGCCCACATCAACCAAGACTGTAAAAAGCATTCAAGGAAAGCATCGGCCGCACGTGATGGGGCTATGCTGGCAACCTGAAAGCTGGTGGCACTGTCCACAAAGTGATAAACATGAAACCCTTTTCCTTGAGCATTGGTCCACGTGAAGCCATCCACATGAATCCTGTCATTAAAATCCAGTTCATCCCTCAGGTTTCCAGGTGCACCCGGCTTTGGCGATTGCTGTGCTTGGCACACTGAGCATTTCAGCTCCAAAGCTGCACGCGCTACTTCAGGTCGGAATCCCTGCTGACGGAGGATACTGCTGAATTTTTCGGCATGAGGGTGGCCCAAGTTCTTGTGCGCTCTGATCAAGGCTTGTTGTTCTTCCTTGGTGAGGCTCTTGAAATGTGCTGATTGATTAACCATCTTCAAATCCGCCTGCTGGGATTCAGTCATGTCTCCGGTTGGATTAGAACTTGTGGCCGGTACGGATTCGGAGTCCTTCGCCTCCGATGCACTGGGCCTTTCGGTCGGCGGGGCAATCACTGAATTGGGTGCAGTGGGGTCAGTGGGATCTATCCGAGATTCACTGGCCTCGGGAACAGTTGGATTGCAAGCGAAGACTGTCATATTCAATCTGCACGGATGGGAGGCTCGAATAAGCTGTCTTTTGGAAAGGCTTTCCCAAGATTCCCATGATTCATCGGCCTTATGCTTACCAGTGTTACGTTCTATGAACACACATCTTCGATAGGGGGCTTCACCTTTCATGAGATCCTGTGGTGGTGCAATAGTCCGGTTGGTTCCTCGGCATACGATGATTCTGCGAATCTCTTTGTCTTCCATGAGGCTTTGAACTTGAGATATGATTTGAGGGTCTGTGACTTCCATCTTTCCCACTCGGGGTGCTGTTCGTTGGAATTCCAGGAAAATGGTCTGCCATTGTTGATTGACGTTAATTGGTGTAGTTTTGGTGGAACATTTTATGCGTTTACCCCATGGTAGTTGATCTACATCCCGTGCACGGCTGACCTTCAGTCTTGCCTGTACGGCCAGTCTCTGGCGCTTTGGAGCCCGTTCACCATGGTCGGATTCATTGGCTAGAGTCCATGCCCAGAGACATTCCTCTTGCTGCAGTAGGTGAGGCAATTCACGGGGCTTTCGAATGCGACACAAACTCTTGGCCAGCTTGCGAGCAAACTTTCTGGGATAATTTTCAGAAAATGATGTTCTGAGCACCGTCTTGCCACCTACCTTGCACGACCCTGCGATCTGCTGGTGTGGATGTGAACCACGGCATTTCAGGCCTTCAAGCTCTTGACACAAACTTTGGCATGATGTCATGATGGTTAACGCCTTTCGCATGTGGTTCTGGGTGTCAGGGTCTCGCAAGTCACCTGCCATGCAGAGGTCAACTTCCAGCACTAGCAACATTTGTCGAATCTCTTGCATGTACGGGAGTTTGAACATGTGAGAGTTTTGTGGCTGTTCCCAGTGGAAGTGGTTTTTGTGACTCCTTTGATATCTCATGAGGACAATACCCAAAGCTATTTGATCGATGTGTTGAAGTCGGTTATTTTGGAGGGCATCCCATGCTTCAAGAGATTTACTTCCATTCAGATTAGACCAACTGCTCCACGGACCACATTTTGGGGAATACCAGACATGTTTGGGCTTATGTTTTGTTAATACCTTAAACAGGCGCTGGCGACCTTCTGAGGTCTGCAGATCTCCTTCGGCAAGCCCAAAACGCATGGCTCGGTGTCCCATCTGTTGACACTGGTGTGTCAGCTGGCTTGATGGTCCGCAGAAAACTTCCAAAACATCGATCTTGGTCCCCCCGGGATTATCTTCAAGAATAACTTGTTCCAACTCGTGAGATATTTGTGATATCAACTTGTTGAACATCTTTCGTTCACGGTTGGTTTCGGGAGTAGCATGATGAATATGTTCCTCATTCATCTCATAATCACCAGCCAGGATGGACTGAGCCCAGCTGGGGCATTGATCTACTGGGGCTCGGTTGCCGGCTGGATGTTTTCCAGTGCAAGGAGAATCTGAGACAGGGCATTCTCCATGGACAGCATTCGGGCTTCCAATTGAGCCACATTTGGACTGGGACCCTCGGTGGCTGCTACTACACTCATGCCAGCTTCGATCTCGTCGCCGTACATCTCGAACTCCTCCATCTCTGTGGCATCCCACACTGGGATTGTTTCGTTCGGTGGTTGGGCCAGTTTCTTGGGCCACGCCTTGGCTTTCGGCTTCTCGATCTTCACACTCGATGGCACCCCTTTGTGGACAGGGATGCGAGTGCCCGACACCTCGGCCCGTTCCACCATCAGTTGAACATAGTGGAGGATCTTCTGATGACTCTCCTACCCTGATTTCTCGTACCTCCCGGCAAACCAGAGAAGCCACTCCTGATGGTTCAACCACATCTCGCGGTAAGTGCGACCCACATGGGCCTGTCCGAAATCCACCTTGGTCTCCTCTAACTGTGAGAAGCTCAGGTGACTGAAATCGAACTTGGCGGTTTCGCCTGGCACTTGGAGTTCCTTCAGGCGCTGGCTCAGGGAGGACATCACGGCGAACTCTAGGAAATCGAAAACTCTTGGCAAACGACACGTGTTTTGAGCTGCGAGGGTCTATCGGGTCTGTATATTCAGGACATGTTTCGGCTGATTGCAAAAATTCATCCAGGATATTTGGGAAAGTTTTGGAAACTGTCGGTGTTATTGGAGTCGATGTAGATTTCTCCCTGGGTGTGTCGGTTGTGATTGGCATGTCATGTGACGTGGCATGTTGGTGATGACATGGGACATGTGTGCATGGCTCGGCTGCTTTGGATTCTGTACACGGCTTTGCACACGCTGTTTTGGTCTCTTCGGACACCTGGTGAATCTCCGCGGCATGCTTGGACACGGTCGTATCCACGAGATCATTCAAATCCAAAAGAAACAACCCTCTATCTGTGAGCTGGATTGGAATCACCTTGTTGATCTTGGATGCAAAAATGGTCTTTTGGCTCGTGTCGATGACAGCACCAATAGCTCGCAATAGGGTGTTTGACAAAAGGAAAGGGGTTGACCCAGGCACTACTGCAACCTTTAACCATAACCCATGAATAGGTATTACCAAGGCTTGTTCACTTTGTAGTGTACCCTGATTCCCAAACCTAAAGGTAATGGCACATGGACACCTTCGGACAGCTTTTCGGGCTTCAGGGGATAAACCGTCTAAAAGACCTTTGACCAAATTGCTACCAATGACTGTCTTGGTTGCTCCTAGGTCAACTACCCCCATGCTGCTGTACGTTGCAAACATTGCTGCGTGTTCCGTCAAGGAACCTTGGTCAGGTCTGGTGCATGGATTGGCTGCCACAGGCTCTGGCTTGACTGTCGACCAGGACGTCGAGCTGTCTTGCACATCATGGGGCCTGGGCACGGCTGCAGTGGTTTTCGATGTCAACCATCTTTGAATTGATCTCTGGAGTCTATCCTTGGATTCCATTTTATCAACCCTTTCGGAATGGCAAACAAAACATTGGCTAACTGATGCTAGAGGTACATCTACGGCTTCTTCAAAGGCTGGCAGGTTGAGAAACTCTAGTGGCAGACCTTGCGCCTCGCTCTGCACTTGGACAAAGGACGTAGGAGCTTGAGGTCTGGAGGCTCCTGTGGCATCGTTCCTGCTAGGACATTCGGCCTTCCAATGGCCCATTTTTCCACAGATCCTGCATGTGGAGCTAAGGATCCTCTGCTGCAGTGTTTTGCGGCTGGAGTTATGTCCCTTACTGAACTTACCCTTTACCCCACGGTTAAACCCTTTGGACTTACCCTTGGAGCTTTGAGACAGGGGCCAGAAACCACGTGATTTCACTTTCTCACTTAAGCGCCTGCGCGCCTCAGTGTATGCATTCAGCGCACTCGCCAGCTCTTCATCTCCTTGAAGCACATCAGAGGCCGCCGTCTCAAAGTCGGCGATCAGGATGGCGTCAGCGTCGCCTTCCAGTACCAGAGCATCAATCATCTCGTCTTCAGTGATCTCTTCAGGAACTTCGGCAAGCAAAGCCTGTGAGGCTTCCTCATCGTCTTCCATTTGATCCGCAACCATGGTGCTAGCGTCATACGTCTTCAGTTTTCCAGTTTTCTTTCCAGATGTAATCTCATGAAAGAACCCTGCACCAAGCATGCGAATTGCTGACGATACCCTTGTCAAAGTCAGCTTGCCATCAGTGCTCACCTGGCTGTCAATCACCACGTGTTTTTTGTCCTCCGCACTGAGATTGGAACCCCTCAGAGTTATGTATGCCTGCAGTTCTTCCAGCTTGATGTCCTTGTTCAGAAGTTCTTGCCACAGCACGTCGGCCCTTGCAAGATAGCTATCATTTGTCTCATCTTGTCGCTGGACACATCGGAACAAGGCTCGTTCCGCTGACTCATACTTTTCTCCAGAGGTATTTGGCCCCATTGGCCGCCCAACAGTTCAATGATCTGTTGTATCGACTTCTTTTCATTCACGGTAATCTCAGCACTTTTCAACTGTAGTTTCTGAAACGCAGATCCTGTACAGCCTAAGATCAAGCGAGTTGCCAGTTCTGTCCATTTGCCCTCCGGCCACATATTCATAAGCAGCTGCACCTTCTTCGTATAGTCGGTGAGGTCATCTTTGGATGGGTCAAATGTAGGTACCAGGCTTGCAAGTTGATTGGGCACAAGAGTGCTGGAGGTTCCTTCAGCACCGTCAGATGCTTCAGGCATCTCTCCACCTCCAAATCCACCTCCCTGGATACTCAGCTAGGGGAGCAGAGCTGAGCTCCGCTACCAGTGTGAGTGGTTGGAGCCTCACACTGGCAGCTGCAATCTCCGGATCCACCTCCAAAGGCAAAAAGCGGCTCACGGCCTTTTTCCCCTTCACGGCACACAAATCCTGGGCAACACGGTAAGGAGACAGGCAGTCTCTTCCCGGCAACGGTTATGGTCCTTGGACCTCCAGTGAATGGGCAAGTCACCCAGCTATGAATGGCCCCCTGGCCAAATTGGTGAAGCGGCCTCGCTTCCAAGCTTATGGCTCAGCACGGATGATTTCCCACCCACCTTCAACCCTGGGCCCTCCGGAGCCACGTGTGCTTTGGAAACAAGTGCTGTGTAAACCCCGGGTTTTTGGTAAACATCCTTTATGGGTGGTTTCTTCCATGACCCCGCAATGATGTAGAATCACAATATACATGTATACATATACATGTGTGTAAATATATATATATATCCGTGATCTTCCCATGTAAGGGTGATTTTCATCGCCTCATTCCTTGCTATAAAAAACAAAAACAAAAAAACGACCCGCCTGATGCTGAAGCTCTGGAGGCTCTGCGACGCTTCATGTAGCCACTACTAGTCCTGCAGTCGGCAATGGGTGAAAAGTGTGGGAAAAAAACATACAAAACATACCCTCTGGTAATTTAACATAGCTATTGAAACTTGTCATTGATAGTTGATATACCTATTAAAAATGATGATTTTCAATAGCTATTTTAGTTTACCAGAGGGTAAATCAGTGGTTTGGATCATCCCTTTCCCCTTAAAATTGCCCTTAAAAATCTGGTAAATCGCTAAATCCGGCACTTTTGGATAAACCCATATCTACTTCATAAGCAAAACTGTTTGCTTTTGGCCCCAGAACAAATGGATGTCAAGTCTTGAAAATGAGACTTTGACCAGGGAAGATGTGGGTTGAAGCAGCAAAATCAATTCACATAACAGACTATGGTGAACTAACCACACCTCCACATGGAAGCATCCCACCATTTGTTTGAAGGATAAAACTCACATAGTCTTAATCGAAAATGAAACACAAGCGGGTGTCCCTTTCACACGATGAGTTGTTTTTGGAACTAGGCCATCTAGGTTACTAGGTTTTGTGCTGGATGGATACACCTGTTTATGTATATATATATATGTGTGTATGTATGTATGTATGTATGTATGTATGTATGTATGTATGTATGCATGGATGGATGGATGGATGGATGGATGGATGGATGGATGGATGGATGTATGGATGTATGGATGTATGGATGTATGGATGTATGCATGCATGCATGGACGTATGTGTGTGTGTGGTATGGTATGGTATGGTATGGTACGGTACGGTACGGTACGGTATGGTATGGTATGGTATGTGTGTATCGTATGTATGTGTGTGTCGTATGTATGTGTGTGTCGTATGTATGTGTGTATGGTATATATGTGTGTGTGTGCGTGTGCATGTTCATGTATATGTATATGTATATGTACATGTATATGTATGTGTGCGTATATATATATATACATATATATATATACATATATATATACATATATATATATATACATATATATATACATATATATATATATGTGTGTGTGAAGGTTTCTGACTGAAACAATGCGGGTACCCGTAAATCATCCATTTATAGATTGGATTTTCCATGATAAACCATCCAGCTATTGGGGGATCCTCCATGACTGGTTTCCAACCCCCATATCACCGACTGGATTCCCCACATGGATGATTTATGGAAAATCCGAAAAAAAAAACACATGACTGGGGGTACCCCCCATGACTTTGGAAACTTTAGGAAACCTCCATATATCTGGGTAAATTACAATATTTCACTAACCTGAATTAAGGCCATTTGGGGATGATTTCCCTTATTAACCATGATTCCAGTGAGGTCGCAGTGAGGTCGTTATAATTTTCCCAGATATATGAACTAAAAAATGGCTTTGAACTTTAGGAAACCTCCAAAAAATCCAACCGTGGCAAGGCAAGCCACCTCCGAGGCTCGTCACCAAAACGATCATCGCCCTGCAGGCGGAGAGGAAAGAAAGCAAGGTGAAGCAACCATTGTGATTTCAAACATCATCATAATAGTGTGATTAATATTCCGACTTATGGATAATATGATGACTAATATGACAAAAAAAAACATTGTATAGACCCCACACATCGATACAAATCACGGATCTGCTTTGTAGACACGGATCTGCATGTTCATCAGAAATGGTCGCTATGTGTATCCAATCCTAAGCACCAAATGAGTTGGTTTGAAAATACCACCAGTTTTCCCATGGTCGTTTGGAAACTTATCATTATCACCATGAAAATTGCAAAAAAAATCGATCATGATGGTTTCAACAACACAATTTTGTCGGTTTTTCATCACAATTAAAATGGGCCAAATTTATTGAGGCCATTCCCCCCATCAGATGGCCTCCTCCACTCCGCTGCTTTCATCCGTGGACCAGGCCTGGGATGCCTGCACCATGGGTGAAACGATGCCATAAACCACCCATGAATGGTTTATACCACCTATAAAAATTATACTGGGATGGTAAACATCACATTCTTTTAGCCACATTAAACAATAAAGTTGTAAGGTTGAATCTCAAGATTCATTGTGATATGGCTCAGAAACTTGGGATCTCACCAATCATATTGGCAGAATACGAAAAAAATAATGACAGGGGTGATGAAATGGTTTACTCAAACACCACCCTGGCCCACTGGACAAATGATGGAAGGCCTAGTGATTTCCTAATCCTCCAAATAAGACATTTGCCAAACTCGGCAATTTGTGAACCTTGGTTTGCCAATTCGCAGTCTGCCAAACGGCTGATACCCAGTTCTCCACTTGCCAGACCATTTGTCAGGGATAACCACACATATCAGTTAGACTTTTGCCTGTTGCTATGTCAAAAGCTTGATCCGGGCGAATTCCCACACTTTACACCGGCTGAAATTGGGTAGTTTCTGGAATGTCTTGCCATCAGCAACACGTCTCTATGAGTTCCTGTCCTTAGGGTCTGTGATTTTGGTGAACTGCCAGTGAACTGCTCCAAAGATCCAAGGGCGACAATGTGGGCATGTACTACACACTGCTTCTAATCCAATCCGATTATGGAAAAAAACTTATTCTTTTATTTATATATATATACAGTTCTGGATCTGAACCTGTGGCATTTTTGATCACCATGTTTGATCATTTAGACCTCATTCTCCCTGGCTCCAGGGAGTCCGGCCACGACGGGGGGAGGCATCAACGAGGGTGTACTGCTCTCACTGTTTGGGCTTCGCCCTCGGCCCACCATCCTGGAGGCCGTGAAGAATTTCGGCAGTCACAACCTGGGACTTATTAAGCAGGCTAACAAGCCATTTGTTCAGAGAGATTATTATCCAAATCGCTTCTTCTTCTTCTTCCAAATCGCTTCTTCTTCTTCTTCTTCTGCTTCTTCTTCTTCTTCTTCGTCTTCTTCTTCTTCTTCTTTGATCCTTTTATCAACAATAAACCCTGCAGCCTTCCCATGAACAATTCGGAACTGCTAGCCATTCAGATATCCTAGTTCAAACCAGATCCCTTGTTTTTGTTGGTCTAATGTCATGCACGTGTGTGCGTGTGTGTGCGTGTGTGTGTGTGTGCGTTGGTGGTGGTATTTCTAGGTTTGTTGCTTACATACAGCTTTTCTCTTGTTCATATATTCCCATATCTACCAGGGTTCCTTGCATATGTGTCGTCTGAGAATAGGGTCCACCCAACTCCACTGGTTCAGAGAATCAAATTCCATGCTAAAATGGCCATAAACCAGGGTTCACACACCCATATTTTCTTTGGAGAGGAAGCTAATCACTATTCCACCCTGCACAACTTTCGCAGATCCAAAAAATCCAAGTGAAGTCCACATCATATCCTCCCAACTTTGCGGAAGTGTACCGGTTGTACCCGTATGGCCCATATCATATCCTCCATATGGATGGGTCATTCTCTCAATGCTCTGCACAGTCCTCCCTTTCCCGCCGTTGTCAGAGGCTTGCGACCCCTTCCCGGCACTGTCGGCACCTAACGCGTGAAAATCTCAGGAGTTCATGGGGATACCAATGAAGCAACCAAAAATGAGCAGATATGGCTAGGTCTTGAAATTGGATAATTGTATACTGTATATACCCAAAAAAATGCTGACATTAAATGGTGATTTACCAATAAATTTCTGACATTGGATATACTATTTTAGTCGGTAAAATGGTGAACCATACGCTGAGTGCAGCACCACTGCTGGCTCCTGCGGCATGCAGAGTTTGTTTTGAGTTTGCGCTGGTCGGCATGCATATGACTATGTCAGTGCAAGCATGATGTGTCACGCTCACAAGTGGGTGTGTATGTGTATCTATATGTATGTATATGTATGTATATGTATGTATATGTATGTATATGTATGTATATGTATGTATATGTATGTATATGTATGTATATATATATATACACATATCCAAATAAAAACACACACATGCAGTTGAAATCAGAAATGCTAAATGATTTGAATTCCACGGATTCATTGTAATTCAGGTTCTTTTCTGCAGGAAGAAAACTTGACCTTTGGCGAAGATCCACTGGTTGCTGGTCACAGAACATGGACATTATGGATCTGTCTGGTTCTCTTGGAAAGAAACATGGTTGAGAAAACATGTGTTCCTATTATTTGATGGTCATTTACGGTATCCCCATTTTTCCCAGATCAAAATGGGATTTGAACTTCCCATCACTGCAGCTTCGCCAACCGGATTTGGTACTTCCAGCTTATGCACCATTCATATTTGTGTATATTAGATATAATATGAACTGTATAAACATATACAAACATTGCAGCACCATAGAAACCCATGTCAACATAATGATACCCCGCCATACCCACTCATAACCCCACTTCTACTACCATGTGTTGGTACTTGCACCATGCACCCCATTTACAGTACAACCAATGACCCCCCGTGTCCCATGGTTGTAAATCCATTTATGATATATATGGGTACTGGGAGATCCGCACACAACTTCGTACGTTTCCTACGAGGTGCGGAATTCCCCAACAAGTAACAGAGGATTGTGAAGCGTATCGGATCCCAACATGTGATGATCCTGGTTAGCAAAGTTTGTACCAAGTTTCTAAACCTTCAAATGGGCATGATATGAAACGTCTGATAACCTCACCAAGGTAATATCCCCAATTGTAACAGAAACTGGATTGTCCGCCGATGAATCTACCAAAGGAAGATTTTGTTGATCAATTCCAACAGTGTCAGTGTTTGCTGAAAATAAAAACTCCGTCTTTGTTGTTTCATTCCCCTGCTCTGGGTTTTACTACATGATTGATATCCCAATTCTTCTTGGTTGTACGCCCATTCATTCTCGGATGCATCTTCGGGGTGAACCCCCTATCTTGATACTGGCCGGTATGATATGGTTGGCATGTATGTATATGTACATGGGTGCATACATAAATACATATATACATATATACATATATACATATATACATATATACATATATATATATATACATATATACATATATACATATATATATATATACATATATATACATATATACATATATACATATATACATATATACATATATACATATATACATATAGACATATATACATATATACATATATACATATATACATATATACATATATACATATATACATATATACATATATACATATATACATATATACATATACATATATACATATATACATATATACATATATACCTATATATATATACATATATACATACATATATACATATATACATATATATATACATACATACATACATATATATATACATACATATATATATACATACATATATATATACATACATATATACATATATACATATATATATACATACATATATACATATATACATATATATATATACATACATGTATACATATATATATACACATATACATATTTACATATATACATATATATATACACATACATTTACACATATATACAAAAATACATATATACATATATATATATGCGTATTATATACATTTATATACATCAAAAAAATTAAGTATCTCATAAAGTCTTCCAATAAAGCCATTTAAACCATTCAATTCTATAAAAACTTTGTTGCCATTCCCTCAAGTGGTTTTAAAAAAAATATTCTGGCTGAGTCGATCCTCGCACGTGCGGATCCGCCAACTCCGGCGGTCTCACCACTCCTGCGAGAGGTGACCCAGTCGTGGCTTTGGTTTATCCCACATGCTTACTGCGTGATAAGATGGCTGTTCCCCAACAAACTGATAGGAAAAGAATGACCCAAAGTAGACAGCCGACCTTTGTTTGGGGTGAAGCTTATTGTTTGGGTGACATGCTTTCTGGGGGGTGTTTAATATCAATGGAGAAAAGGAGTCTTGGGAACAGGCATTGGATAATCTGGGTAACATTCCCAATTGGGTTTATTCTTGGATTGGATTTACCCTCCAGCAATCAACCATGGCGTGCTGGAAAATCCACCATTTACTGCGGTGATTTTCCCATAAAAACAGCCACGTTTGATTACCAGAGGGCACCCCACTAAATATCCCATCGAATATCCCAGTAAACATCTATCATCAACCCACTACTAACCCGTTACCAACCTTTTTGGTATCCAACATATCCCATGAAATATTCATTGATCATCAAAATATCCATTATTAATCATTACTAAGCCATTTTAAACCATGTTGGGTCCATTAAGCATGGAAAATCGCCGCCTATAAACACCAATTATGAACCCATTCTTAAGCCAATAACTATCCATTTGTTCGACGGCGTGAACCAGATCCGCCTTGCATCCCGGGCCATCAGCCACGCCGTGGCCCCCGGTGCTGTACACGCCTCAGGGGCACAGCATTCAATTATCAATGGGAAAAAACATCTAATGTTGGTAAGACAATAATAAACCATCCCCAATTTCACCATAAATAGTTGATATAAACCATTCCCAAATGGATGGTTCATTATTGTTTTACCCACATTATAGAAGGGAGATGTTCTGGCTAGCCATCAGAAGGGAGATTTTCTATTGCCATGTTTGATTACATATTATCCCATTATATACCCAATGATCAGTATGAAATTTGATGAGCCAGAATGAGGCTATGGCAATACCAGATAGTGTCCGGCACGCGTCCGGGCGGAAGCTTCCAAAATAGGACTGACTATAGGAAGAAGGGAACCTATAGGAATTGCTTGTGCGCTGGACCAAAATGAGATCAAGTTTGCAACGAAAGAAAGATGGATTGAAATAAAAAGAGAAGAGGTGAAGGAAAGAAGAGATGAAGGAATGAAGGAATGATGGAAAGGAATGAATGAAAGAAAGAAAGACTGAACAAATGAATGAGAGACATGAATGCAAAAATGAATTGAGCCCATGAATGAATGCATGAGTGAATGCATGAATGAATGAATGAATGAATGGATGAATGAATGCATGAATGAATCAATGAACGAATGAACGAATGAACGAATGAACGAATGAACGAATGAACGAATGAAAGAATGAAAGAATGAAAGAATGAAAGAATGACAGAATGACAGAATGAAAGAATGAAAAAAAGAAAGAAAGAAAGAAAGAAAGAAAGAAAGAATGAATGAATGAATGAATTATCTCATAATCTCCATCATTGATGGTTAAATCTACCCATCATGAACCCACCAAATATGGTTCTGAAAACGGGCTAGATGCCCTAAACATAGCCATTAAATGGGGAAAACGATGATTAGCGGTGGATTTTGGGACACCCTATTTTCAGACACCCCCCAATAGCATATTGTTGGCTATGTATCCTTTGGGCGTGCCAATGGGAAGTCCCCGGCAAATGGTTCTAATGGGAAAACGCCTATAGAAGGGGGATGTTATTGCCTTTTTTGATTACCGGAGGGTGCCCTATACTATCCAATTGTATACCAATTATACACCCCTTATATACCCGTCGTAAACCCATTATATACCTATTTGTTGATCAATTTAAATCTTCACACTGTCCCTATATGATCCCATAAAAACACCATTTATCAACTAATTCCTCTTATTTGACATGTCATATACCCTATATTATCCCATTAAATCACCATTTATCAACTAATTCCCATGTTAAAAAAATGGTCAAGGTACGAAAAAAACACTAAAGTTGTGAGTAAATCCCTACATCATCACCATATTATCAGATTAAATATCCATTTGTCAACTTTTTGATCACCGCCTTTTTTCTCCACTGCGCCGGCGTCAGCTGCGTCAGCTGCGTCAGCGTTGGACGCCTTCCGACTCTGGCCTCGCTGGCCTCCCTGAGTGCGACGCTCGTCTCCTGCCAAGGTGCTTTCATTTGGGTTGATTATCTCTACATCTGTATATTATATTATATACATATATTATATTATATATATTACATATTATATATAATATATTATATTATATATATATATTATATATTATATATATTATATATATTATATATATTATATATATTATATATATTATATATATTATATATATTATATATTTTATATATTATATATATTATATATATTATATATATTATATATATTATATATATTATATATTATATATATTATATATATTATATATATTATATATTTTATATATTATATACATGGTCCTGCGTTCCAACCCCCCTCCCCCCGGCCATGGTCATGGGTCAGCCATAATACTGTCCCCCTCCCCTTGTGGTGTGGTGGGGTGTGGTACTGTCCCCCTGCCCCCTGTGGTGTGGTATGTTTGGTTGGTAGGTATGGTATGTATGGCGTGAATGGTTGGTATTGTATAGATGGTAGATATGGTATGCAAGTCTGTTGGGTATGGTATGTTTGATATGACAGTATGTATGGTCTGTATGGTATGTATGGTTACTATGATGGGTATGGAATGTTTGCCATGTAAGGTAGGCATGGTTATGTATGGCATGTATGTTTGATATTGTATGCATGGTAGGTGTGGTAAGTTGGTTTCATATGTATGGTATGTGTGGTATGTATGATAGGTATGATAGGTATGGTATGTATGGTCAAAGTTTGTATGGTATGTATGATGTATGGTATCATTAGAATTTGTGGTAGGTACGGTAGATGTTAAACACATGTAGTGTTGTGAGAGTACACAGGTAGCAAATAGGAAGCAGATACATAGCACATCTATATATGACTATAGGTAGTGTTCAAGCAGCAGCCATTCCTCTTTTAACTAAGCTACGCTTCGAAGGAGTTTTGTCAGAAGTTAGGGTTTACCCCAACATGCGAGCAGGCACCCAGGCACACCAACGCCCCCAAACACCAGGTACACGGTTTCAGCACGTGTTCCACCAACCTGATGCCAGGGAGCAGCAGCATACCCAGACACACAGTGAAACCGGAACCTCACAGCAGATCTCCTGGGTGCCGCCCCCCAGCACTAGCACTACAAGCACCCAGACACCGGTGTCCCTCCCGGGTGGAAGGCAGGGGTTGAGGAGGCCTGAAAGAGCCCAAGTGCTACGGAATTCAAGCTGATTTCACACTATCATTACGGAGGCCCAAGAGTTAGTGTTCAAGCAGCAGCCATTCCTCTTTTAACTAAGCTACGCTTCGAAGGAGTTTTGTCAGAAGTTAGGGTTTACCCCAACATGCAAGCAGGCACCCAGGCACACCAACGCCCCCAAACACCAGGTACACGGTTTCAGCACGTGTTCCACCAACCTGATGCCAGGGAGCAGCAGCATACCCAGACATACAGTGAAGCCGGAACCTCACAGCAGATCTCCTGGGTGCCGCCCCCCAGCACTAGCACTACAAGCACCCAGACACCGGTGTCCACCCCACCCTGTCTTCTGCGCAAAGCAGTGAAAACAGGTAGCCAAGTTTGGGTCACTTGGGCAAGGATGGAGTGAGGAGACCAGAAAGATAATTTAGCCCCTGGACAGAAGGGGGGGAAAGGGAGGGGTCAAAGATCAAAAGAGAAGTTGGGCCTGGCTTTCTTGGCCAACATTAGCCAACGCTGGCGCGTGGCAAGAGATGCTGAAATCTCAGTCAGTTGGGACAAGGCATCAGTCACATAGATGCGTGCCGTTTTTTGGCAGTTCCAACGCCCAATCATACACACCTGAGACATATTATTGGAAGAACGAAAAAGGTGGGTGGCCCCGCCTCGTCTGAGGCTATACCATTGAAAGCCATCAGAAAAATTTAATTCAAGAAGAAGTTGTTTCAGGCGACTCCGCATAACTCCGGGAGAAGTTTGCCGCAAAGTATCACCATTCTGAAGTGAGCGAAGGTAGTTAGAAAGAGCACGGACTAACCAAGGGTCTTCCACCACCAAAGATTCTTGCGCTCCCACCCTCTGACCGCTTTTGGTCAGGGGCAGAGACCAAACTACCTTTGAACGTGAATGGTTAAAGACAAAGTCTTGTTTAGTCGCCGCAAACAACTCTCCGGTGCGGGCAAAACGGTCGAAGCCGAGGAGGACAAGGAGACATAAATCTTCCCAACCTTTTTCAAAAGCCTTCTGGGCAATGGCATACACCATAACAGGGGTAAACGGGATGGCTCTAGCCGGCAGTTCCGCACGTGACCAGCTCCCATGAAGACGCCACCCCCCCACCAAGTGCTTTTTCGTGGCAGGAATGAAATGCCCCAAACCACTAAGGCAATCGGACGCAAATGCTTTGGGTTCCCCATTGTGCCAAAGATATTCAATGAATTCACACACACGTCCATCTAAGGAAGAAAAGGTACAAGGATAACCATAACCATGCAGCTGCAGGAATTCGAGAAAGCGTGAAACAGCCTGGAAATATCTACCCCTAGTAGAGGGTGCCACAACTAAGCTCTGCAAACTACCCAATGCACGTCGGTCTGTTTTTCTCTGGGCCGCGGATCGGCGTTCAAGGACAAGACCTCTCTTAGGCATGGCTGCGGCGCGCTCGCCATCGCGACGGCCCATCGGCCGGATTCCAGCCGGACTTGATCCAGCCATAGCATGCCAAGACTTCCGAGGCCAAGAGGACAGCCGACACTCGGCGGATGGGTGATTGCAGAGCTTTGGCCGAGGTGCGCCCTTTGGTGAGCACACTCAGCGCCACCTGATTGTCCACCAAAATGACAATCCGAGACTTGTGAAACTTCACACTGCGCGCCAGTTTCCTCAGAAGGTCCAGCACCGCGATTGTTTCCAACACATTGATATGTTGGTCTTTTTGTTTCCAGGCATACGACATGAGCACTTTCCAGGTCCAGCTGGAGGGGTCAATGCTCTGTCGGGTCATTTCACCCACAGCATATGGCATGCCGAGATCCATTCGGATGTCAGCGCCTTTGTGGGTTCCATTCCTGGTGAGCAGGTACACCAGCAATTCCTCGTCCGAGAGCCGCCGCTCAGGATCCAGATACTGCCGCAACGGAATACCCGCAAGCCGGCAAACCTCCAAGCGAAGGCTGCCAACCCCGGAAAGGTCCGCTGCAGCAGAACCGAATCTGAGTTTCCATGGCTTGTCCATGTGCTGGATTTTGGTCTCATTGCGTTTCCACACACGCCATAGGATCTCGGTCAGATCTTTGGCGACCACCTGCTCTTCTGTCGCCACCAGCCCCACCAGCAAGCGGGCCACAGCGATGACCGCAAAAGAATTGCCAATAAGCTGGCTCTTCAGATCTGCGGAGAGCCGGCTCTTCAGTTCTAGGTGGTTGGTTGGGAATCCCATGAGGCGCAGCTGCTCCTCGGGTTTCAACTTCCGAGGCCCATGCGCGTCCACGACCATGTTTCGATTTTCATAATAGTAAGGCTGGAGACGGTAGTTATCCCCTTTCCAACGTGCCAGAGCCTTGGGGCTGCAATGTTCAAGTCCTGCAGGCTGCTCCGGAGGTGTGGCCCTGGCCTGTGGACGAGTGATCGTTGGGAAAGGTTCGTTCTCCGCTTCCGTCTTGGTGGCATCAGCACACAGGAACCACGACATAGGTGGCTTGTTTGTCTGTATGTTCACTGAAGGCAGCATGTAGTCCTCATTGCGCATTGGCTGCCGAGGCCCAACACTTCCATCTGTTCCCTGGACAAAAGGAAAACCTTTCATCCAATAAATGCGAGGGCGCCGCACTTGGCCCACCATTGCCGCTTCGAAGAACGTTCCACCAAATCCAATTTTTCCCGATTGAATCTTGTAGTCGTGCTTGTCCATGACAACGTTCTCATAGAACTCAAGGACCTCCCAGTCCGGCATCCCTAGCTCTCGGGAGCACAAGCGCAACATGGTTTTAATTTCCAGCATTTTGTCCAGCAATTGGCTGCTGGCTGCTTCGGCTCCACCACGCCTCGGATTGAGGTGGCTGTGATTCACACAGGGCCATCCTCCACTGAGGAGTACCTTGGTCACCTTTGAAAATTTCTTTCGCCACTCCTTCACCTCAGCGAAGGTTACTGATTCAATCGAGTTGTACCACACCGCATGCCGGCAATGCTGCCGAAACACCTTTCCACATTCTGAGCTGCTGTCGATCCCAATGTTCCCCATTGGGACCAATCCCAACAGGTCCAGCGCTTGTTTCAGGCCTCCTATTCCTGCAAAGCACTCGACCACCAGGATAGGGTCGGCTCCTCCTCCTTCAACGCCGGCCGTCTCATGCGCCAACGTGTGTACTCGAGAATGCCCCCACTTCGTGAGGCCAGTGGACTGACATGCACCTCCTCCTTCTTCAGAAGCATCAGTTGCATAGATTTGCCCCTCAAGCTTCATCTTCTGGCTCATCCAATGCAACGGAAGGGTCATGCTGAGTAACAGCAATTCATCTTTCGACTTCTCACTCAGCACCTTGGGCATGGCCAAGCCCATTTCTGTGTACAGTGAGTCGAACAGGCACGCCAAAGCCCGCTTGTACTGGACTGAGTGCATGTTCTTTGAAACCACTGACTGCAGTCCAAGACTGTGGCTTCCGACCGTGTCTTCACCCACGACTTTCAAGTTTGCACCCAAGAGGGCTCGGCGGAACTTCAGGGAGCTGCCGATCAGACCAAGATCTCCATCAACCTCCGCACCTAGGGAGCTCCAGCTTCGAGTGCTCTCTGCAGCTTTCTTTGGGTCTCGTCCAACCCCCAATGTTTCCATCTCCTGACGGAGTTGTAGCTGCTCTGCTGACGGGCTGCCTTCATAAGTGCCGGCTTCTGTGCGCCAAACCACCTTGAATTGGTCAAAGTTGTCCACATAGAACGAATAGAAGTCCCGAGGTGTCGTCAGAGGTGCCAAAGGAGAAGGTTCATTCATTCTGATGATCCTCCCAGGCTCGAGATTTGCTCGCATGGCCAAATTTTCAAAGCCGTCTTGTATGAAGTCGACCACGTTGCTCCAGCCCATCGGAGCACTGACCACTCTCGGGTAAGCCTTGTCTTCCAGTCCATCCTGGAAGCAGGCTCCACTGGCCTTCCGGTTGAGGACAAAGAATCCCCGCCAGGCATAGCCAGGACGATATATGTGGAAGCAGTGCTTCTGGTCCTCTGCGCAGCACAGGATGACCTCATCCTCATGAAGACAAAGTGCGCCCCAGCTCGGCCCATATCCCATCCGTTCCGACGGCTTAGTGGGTATTCGCCTTTGGAAAGTGTTGGATGGGATGAGGTTGATTATCAATCTCAATGTCCTCAACCATGTGTTGTCCTCTTTCAGCACCCAACCCTTGTGAACTCCAAAGGCTCCATTTCGTACAGCCGTCCCCTTATACATAAGGGTCTCATTGGGCTTCTCACGCTCCAGCATCTTCGCTTTCACGAGGTATGAGACGATTTTGTCCCACTCCTCCTGTGAAGTTACTTGGACGGCCGCTGTCGTACGGGGATGGACCAATTCCTCATCCGGAATGCGCAGCGAGGCTGGGCTGTCGGCAAACCCTTTCAATTCGTCGCTGACCACCTCTGTGAGATCAATCCTGGCCGCTTCACCCGGCCCAGGAGTCGTGGGCTTGATGGCATCCAGAGTCAAAGGATAAGACTTACCGATCGAGGCCCCAGTGTACAAGCCACCGAGGCTCTCTTCCAGCTTGTCCCAATCCTCGACCTGAATCTGCTCTTCGGAATGGTTTGTCCACTTCTTCGCCAGCTCCTCCTGACGGCTGACAACCTCTTGCTGGGCTGCACTCAAGGTGTTGGAGTGAAACATTGAATCAGTCAGCCACCGAGGTGTCCCACCGCCACAGTACATGGCATTCAGTGCTAGTAACTGCAGCCAGGTCCACGATTGCCAGCCACAAGCTTTTGCTCTGGCTTCACAAGCTTCCACATCCGAAGCATCCCAAACTTTTCCATTCAGTGCCACTTCTGTGAGCTGAGAGATGAGCTCCGTTTCCTCAGCGCTACCGACTGGCAGGGCAATCGGAAGTAGCTCAACCGTTGACCGCTGAAAGGTCTCCGAAGCGCAGCAGAGGAACGCTCTCGTAAAGTTCCCAAGGTGACCGGGGCGGTGCAACAGCATCGTCTTGATCACCACTCCAGCCAAACTCAGCGTCATCGGCCACGAGCACAACTTCCTAAAACCCTCTCGCCAAGCAGCGGGTGAGTTTTCAGAGCCACCTTCCAGCCTCAGCTCCTCTATCATCTGTCTTGCCCATGGTATCTCCTCCTGGGTCACATACAGACGCCGTCCTGTGAGCATATGGCGTAGCATCCCACCATTGAGCTTTGGGACCAGCGCCGCTGTGTACAGGGAATCAGCGATGTCCCGCTTGCCTTTGCCGACCATGACGCCCCATAGACCGGTAAATGTAGCAGTCACCTCTCGCAGTTCAACTCCTCGATACGTCTCCCAGAGTTTTCCTTCGGCCTCCCCCGAGCATACACTCAAGGGAACCGTTGGCAACCCCAAGAGCCGCATGAGATCTGCGTTGTGCTCCGGCGGCTCCTCTAGCAGCAACCTCCGCCAGGGCAAAGCGAGTCTGGCCACAGCGGCCTCAACCGTGGCGTCTCTCTTGTCAATAGCAGCAGTCATAACTTGACGTTGAGCCTTCTTCCAACCGAGGGGGCTCTTGATGTACTTCCGGAGTTCTCTAAAAAGGCTAGTCAAGCCGGGGGTCTCCCCTAGGGCTTTCAACATCCCCTTCTGCTTCTCATCCATGCTTCGCTCACCAGCCAGCTCGTCAATCACCTCCTGCTCCACATACACCTCACCTTCAGGGTGATTCACCATCTCTTCCCTTTCTTCCCTTTGCCTTTTCCTTTTCGATTCTTGCCCCCATTCGCGGGAGGCATGTCGTCTTTTCCTCCGCCTTCTTTCTTGTCCTCGGCCTGAGGAGCCTGGGGGCTCACTTCCCACTGGCGCCGTCGCCTCGGCCACTGGTCCAGGAAGAGCTTGCTTTCCGCTTTTGCTTCCTGCTGGGCCGCCTTCAGCTCCTGCCGGAACCAGGCCCTCTGTTCCCCTTCTGCCGGGATCAGCTCCAGTTGTGTCGCCTGGGTCCACGTGCCCTGGGTCACAAAGACTTCTATGGCCTTGATCCGCTGCAAAGCTATGTCCAGGGCCCTCAGTCCGTCGTTGTTGCAAATCAGGTCGGCCATGGTTGTCAACGTTCGTAGTTCCCGAAGATTCCTCAGTCCGATCATGGACTCCGGGCACTTCACCAAATAGATCTGGCTGAGGTAAGCCCGAGCTACTGCTGGGAGCTCCTGACTTCCGGATGCCGTTCCCCCCCCCGTGCTGCGTTGCAGAAGTTCGTTGAATCTCTTCAGCGTCAGGTTCGCCAAAGAGCCGGGGTGCTCCTGATGCAACCTCTGGAGCTTCTCGACCCCTTGGGGTAGGGCGGCTAATCGAAAATCCGAGCCATCAGTACTTGTGCTGCTTTCCGAAGACACAGATGAAGACTCCTCCTCAAGACGCTTCTTCTTCCTCTTGTCGTCCTTTCCTTTCTTCTTCTGATCTTTCTTTTTCTTCTTCTTTTTCGCGTTCAGCTTGAGGGCCGACAACTCAGGCGCTGAGGCCGCTCGCTCTTTGATAACTTCATCCAATCCCGAGACTGCTTTACGCTCCTTCGGAAGGTCTCCTCCCTCCTTTTCTGTCTTTTGCCGCTTTGTGGCCCCTCTCTCCTCCTTTGGAGCCTCTCTGTCAGCCTCCACGGCACCCAGAGCGTTCGCAAGCCCTTGAATGCCAGCTTCTCCCGCCTCAACTCCCCTCTCCCTCCCGGGTTCACCACCAGCAGGAGGCCCCACTGGCGTGGCTCCGGAAGGTCGAGACTCGATGAGGCGTTCAATCTTTATCTTCTCATCGTCAGAAGGCCATGTCAGACTCATAGCGCTTCTTCCAGGAAGTAGTCGGAAAACGTCCATGTGAAGGGGGTTCCGGTAGAGAGTCACCATTGGGCACCGATGTGCCTGACGCCCGCACACATGCAATGGGACTGTCTTGTCCACATAGGTCTGGTCATGCCACCAATCAAAGTAGGGATCCTCTATGGCCACAAGCTGAGAAAGCCACACTTGGCCATCATCTCCGGCTCCTTCTTCACCCCGAGCTCGAAGTTCTGCCACTGCTCGTCCTTGTTGAGCACCGTGGTCGTCATACACGGCAAGCTCCACCAGGCATCCACTTTCCAAACCAATGAAATGGTCTGGCTTTGCCTTCCGCCCGGTGCGTCGCCAGGGTTCAGGCTCCACCATGAGTTGCCTGGGCCTATCCCCAAGATGACAATTCACCTTGAGGAGCCAGAACAACCCACGATGAAACCCCTCCCCGGGTCACAGCCCTATGGCTCCTCAAAGGATTTTTCCCTGAAAGAGCCCAAGTGCTACGGAATTCAAGCTGATTTCACACTATCATTACGGAGGCCCAAGAGTTAGCACGTAGGTACTTTGAGGGAGTATGTGTGTTACGTAGGTCGTCTAAAAGGTAGCATGTACCTAGTGTGAGGCTGGTAGTCAGAAATGCTGCAAAGGCTGGACCTCAGAAATGCTGCCAATAGCCTGCAAATAGAAGGGAAGGGGGTGCTACCTGGGGACCCATACCATTGGGGGGGTAGGAAGGCAGAAGACGAGACCATATATACATAAACACAGATATATATATATATATATATATACATATATATATGTTGTGATGTGTGTGTATATATATATATATACATATATGTATTTATGTATGTATATATGTATGTATATATATGTATGTATGTATTTGCACTCGCATATATATATGTATAGGCACTCATATATTCATATTTATGTGTGTGCATATATATATATGTGAGTGCTATTGATTTAATTGTTTACAAGTGTTTGTTTATATGGAAATATGTGTGCCATGTGTATAATATACATATATGTGTATGTTATAGATGTAATACATGCGATATGATATGGAACTAAGGCTTCACTTAAGTCAGGTGATAGCCCATAGCTCTCGTAGCAGATCATCTTCAGGGCTCAGTGGTAATCGTTAGGTCTCACTAAGTTTTCTTCGTGGTAATGTGGTACACCCGATGCAAAACACGAAAAGCATACCGCAGGTACTCTTTAAAAACATGATGATAAAAAAAAAAATACAAATAATGATAGTAATACTGATCATGGTATGAATAATAAATATTCTGGTAATAATACTAATGCTAATTAAAGTAATACTAATAAAAGTAACAGGAATAATGGTAAATAGTAATAGTTATAGTGATCAAAAATATTTAATACTAATAGTGAATAGCCTTGATATTAATTAATTAGTAATGCATAATAGTAATAATAAGTAATAATCATTAATAATAACAATAAATATATATATATACACATTTACCTATGTATATCTATATAACTCATTCTACATAATACAACAATAATCCATGAATTACAGTTCGAAATTTTTGGGGTTGCCATACCGAAAAATATCTTTAAAACCAAGAGGTGACACCATTCAGGTCACGGGGTCAAAAGTTCATTGGCCCGCCAAAAAAATGAATTCCTCAGTGTTTCCATGTTTCTCTCCCAGTGCTCTGCGTGATGTCCCAATTTTTTCTTGGTTCCATCCTAAGTCTTCTGGGGCCGCCCCAATTGCTCGACCTTTTCGCTGGTTTTTCCCACTGAAACCGGAGATTTTTCAAGACCAAGCTTCGGTACTTCTTCAGTACTTGGTATCCAGGATGGCTTGCCCAGGTGGTTTCAAAGAGAACGCCTTAGCCAAGGCGACCTTCGGGGTGTTTTCTTGGTTACAAAATGCCAACTCTGGAGTATGTTAACATACAGGTCCAGTTGATGACAGTTCTCACCTCCGGAATTGAGGAGAAATCATGCAGCTTGGGAGCTATCCACGTACACCTTGAGGTGCAAATGGCGGCAGTTTTGAAAGGTCCCAGCATTCAGTCGCATGTTCAGGAAGAGGTCACCCTCCTCTCAAGCAGGGCAGCCCAAAGCTTCGAAAAGTTTGCCCGCCGGCAATCCAACACTGGCAATTGGAAAAAAAAAATCACTGTTGATTCTTAGATGTTTTAGGTCTTTAAAAAGTCTTATGTAATATTATGCAACACCATTTATACAGTTTGTCTCTTCATCTCTTCAAAGACCATTTTTGCCCACGCCAGGTCTGGGGTCCCGCCAGCACCTGGCGGCCAGGCGCGGTGACGTCCATGGCCTTCGAAGCCAGGCTCCACAATTCCAAGAGCTCGGCATCGGTGCAGTCACGTTGGAATTGCACCTGCAGCTGATGGCTCATGAAAAAATTGTGGCATGTATCGGCATGTATAGCCAAATTCGCCAACATTCCCATTTTCAGTAAATGGCCATCTGGAGAAAATACCGGCATACACCATGTTCAACAAACCCATGCCCAAAAATATATGTGTATATATATATGTGTGTATATACATATATATATATATATATATTCATATGCGTAATGGAGTATCTCATTTATACCATTTATAGTACTCTATCGTTTTATAATGATTTACAATAACGAATAAAATTCGTGCCAGTTACAAATGATTATGGGATAATTGCCGCAGCGATTAAGCGCCATACCCATGATATATGCTAGAGGGATGGAGTCTATAATGGAATATGTACGGTAGTGGAATACATAATGTCGGCTATATATTCCGCTATGTTTTATATTCCAATGTATTAGCAGTATATCCCAGTAAATTTATGTTTGATTTTTAGCCCCAGTATCTTTTCCTGACATGTGCATCCCAGAAAATGGTGAGATTTATCATATCAGCTGGGGTTATACCCCCAGAAAACTTGGTCCAACAAATGCTGTAAAACCCCATCCTTGTCCCATTCAATAGTTGTCAGTAAATCCCTTAATGCCTTAATGATTGTTGGTCAAAATCCGTCTATAGCGGTGGATCCTACACATATTACATCCCAACCACTCCTGATGTTTAGGCAAATGTCAAGAACCTTCACAATAATTGACAATAATGATGTATACTTAAAAGGTTATCCCACAGATGTGAAATGATGTATGTATGGAGTTCCACATACATGTATAGAATACATAGGTATATCTAGAAACGATGACATTTATACAGATATATTTTGTGTATATGTACACATGTATACAGATAGAGAGCTGCATGAAAAAACTGTGGTTGCCAATTGAACACTTAAAAAAGAGAAAAGAAAGTGGTTGCCAATTGAACACTAAAAAACACATTTTCATGCAGAAGAAACAAATGGAACAACAACAACAACAACCACCACCACCACCACCACTACCACGACCACCACCACCACCACCACCACGGCGACCACCACCACAACCACAACCACAACAACAACAACAACAGCAACAACCACAACAACAACAACCACAACCACAACAGGAAACCACAACAACAACAACAACCACAACCACAACCACAACAACAACAACAACAACAACAACAACAGTAACAACAACAACGACAACAGCAACAACAACAACAACAATAAACATAACCACAACCACAACCAAAACCACAACAGGAAACCACAACAGGAAACCACAACAACAACAACAACAGCAACAACAACAACAACAACCAACAACTAACAACTAACAACCAACAACCAACAACCAACATCCAACATCCAACAAACAACAACCAACAACCAACAACCAGCAACAAACAACAAACAATGATCAACAAGCAACAAAAAGAAAACAAAAAAAAAACAACCAACAACAAACAACCAACAGCCAACAACCAACAACCAACAACCAACAACCAACAACCAACAACCAACAACCACCACCACCAACAACAACAACAGCAACAAGTAACAACAACAACAACAAACAACAAAGAACAAAGAACAAAGAACAAACAACAAACAACAAACAACAACAACAACAACAACAACAACAACAACCAAAACGACGACGACGACGACGACGACAACGACAACAACAACAACAACAACAACAACAACAACAACAACAACAACAACAAACAACAACAAACAAACAACCAACAACAACCGACAACAACCGACAACAACCAACAACAACCAACAACAACCAACAACAACCAACAACAACCAACAACAACCAACAACAACCAACAACAACCAACAACAACAACCAACAACAACAACAACAACAACAACAACAACAACAACAACAACAACAACAACAACCAAAACGACGACGACGACGACGACGACGACGACAACGACAACAACAACAACAACAACAACCACAACAACAACGACAACGACAAGGACAAGGACAACGACAACGACAACGACAACGACGACGACGACGACGACGACGACGACGACAACAACAACAACAACAACAACAACAACAACACAACCACAACCACAACAGAGAACCACAACAGAGAACCACAACAGAGAACCACAACAGAAAACAACAACAACAACAACAACTACAACTACAACTACAACTACTACTACTACTACTACTACTACTACTACTACTACTACTACTACTAGAACTACTCCTCCTCCTCCTCCTCCTCCTATTCCTCCTCCTCCTCCTAATCCTACGCCTGCTCCAACGCCTACTGCGACTCCTCTACTCCTTCCTCCCTTCTTCCCCAAGTACTACACTGGTAGTGCCGGTATCTAATGACACTGCCTACAGCATTAGCGTCGTCTACAGGTGCTCGTCACAGGCCGCACACGGTACTGATCGACCAGTACTCATTTGGTATGCGTTCCATTGGTTGTTCAAGCACGCACTTGCTACTCAAGCTGCTTCTGATCTACGGCTCTGTCTTCGTCTCTTCTTCTCTCAGGCTTCCACCTAGCGTGCACGTCAACCTCCCTTGGGGCAATCTCTCTCCGCTTCCATCCTGTCTCCTTCCATGCAGCGGTCTGCTGTCAAGCCAGATTCTCATACATAGTACCTGGCGCTACTTTGCTGGGGGCAGAACTAATTTGGTATACGGTCAATAGGTTGTTACAGCAAACCTTGCTACACAAGCCGCTTCCGTTTTACGGCCTTGTCGTCGTCTTCCTTTCTTATTCTTCTTATTTTTCTTCTTCTTCTCCTTCTTTTCTCTTCTGCTCTCTCGCGGGCTTCCACCTACAACGCACATCAAACTCCCTTGGGGCGACCTCTCTATGGCCGGGCTTGCCGAAGGCACTTAAATAGATTGATAAAAACTGACATTGAAGGCCTGAGTTGACTCCCAGCCCATGAACACCTGGGAGCCCCCGCGAAACGCTCTAAGACCACCACCAGCATTGGACGTCCCTGGGGGAACGGAAGGAACGTTCCAGCCCGGAGAGTCACATGTACATGTTGGCTAACAAGCGTGCCCGGTTCGGATTCCTTACGCAGATCATTTTTGATACGGTTGGGGACATGGTGACATGGTCAGTTCCTCCAATTTTGCGCTTTCGGAATGGACATGTTCACTCACAACTTGGAGCTCTCGCGAGGATAAATGGGCTACGTTTCAGTCATGGATCGAGACCCTTTTGGAGAATACGTTGGAGGTTGGAAATCCTGGTATCAAACCATAGCAGTTGTCCAAAAATTTGGCTAAATCCAGAAATTCAGCGGTTTAAAAATAATGTTCCATTAAAATTGCCATATGTCTTGTTGGGCCGTAGTGTATATATATATAATTATACACATAATATATATATATATGTAGATGTACATGTACATGTACATTACATTACATTACATACATGACATGTACATGTACATGTACATGACATGACATGACATGACATGACATGACATTACATACATACATATATTATATATATATACATATACACATGTCGCATGATATCTATGTCCCATCAATCTATATCCCAATGTGATATCCCAATCTGGCCTGGGCATCCAGCGCACAGCGCGTCAGATCTCCCTGGAGAACGGTGATGTCCCGGGAGGTGATGGGAAGTTTCACATGCCTCGGCACCGTTTCGGAGGGGGCAAATGTTGTGGGGGACCCCGCGAACCCCCTGTGAAATGGTGGATGAATTGTGGGACGTCTTGGGAAATTTGGGAGAACTGTTGGGGAAAATTCTCTAGATCTGTTTCTCTTCTGGAATTTCCATAAAATGCCAGAAATTGTAGTATGCCGGTATGCCCCAGTTTGACATTTGCCAATCAAGCTGCCACATTCATGGATTTAAATTCCATTGCATGAGAAGTGAGTTGGCGTCTATCCCGCTACAGTAGATATGCTTACCAATCTCATCCGGTCCAACAATGGCCTTTGGCTTCCATATTGTTGGACTTAAGTCAGATGAGAATAGGGACAAGCACAGATACAAAGATGATCAAAGATCAAAAATGAATGCAACATTGCTCTTTGATGTACAAAAGAAGGTAGCAGAAAAGGAAATGAACTCTATAAACGCATCTGATGGCGGAACATACATTTCTTCAACTCAGATGCACTGCATAGCTGTCAGATTCCTGGAAACCCATGTGGGGATAATCATCCCAAATATCCCAAGGTTGAAACAAAACGATTCAAGACATCTTGGAAACAGTTGAAACCACCAGTTTGGACCCAACCGTGCCGAAAGCCTCCCTGCAGCTTGGGGAACTTCCCAGAGGCATCTTGATAGTCGATCTGGGCATCCAAATCCAACAGGGCATCGGCATCTGAAGCCCGGAAGCGTGAGAACACCACGAAAAAATATTGCCGCCAACCCCCACGAAAATGAAAATAGATCTGACTTGTAGTGGAACTTAGTTTAAAGTTTGTTTTTAAGTTCTTGTTCCCAGGCTTTGGATGGTTTTGGTGTCTCAAATCCACCAAATTTGGTCTATTCTTGCACGAGTGGGAACGCATCGTGGTGCGTTGGGTTCCAGAAACATCCACAATCCACATGGGTGTTTATCAGAAGTGAGAATCTCCATAGCCCAAGAAAATGAGGCTTTGCTAAAAAGAAACTGTCCATGTGTTGGTTTTCTTGAATCTTAAAGGGGGTCAAAGTCGTGGGGACCCAGTCATCAGCACCTGCGGGTTCTTGCTTTCTGGCCGCATCTGCGAAGACAAACACAGAGAAACCTGCACAGCTGGGCAAAACCGGCATCTCAAAATGGAAATCATCCGAAATCATCCGAAATCCACAAAAAGCGGCGATCTGAGAAACAAACAAGCAGTTTGGGGCTCCAAAATCTTCTAAACTCAATTCCTCAAAACCCTGCATCGTCCCTTTTTACCTATTTTTTCATAGGCATTCCCCGTTCATGGATGGTGATATTCCGATATTCCCCAATATATTGGCTAGAATAGTCCCTCCAATCATCAACCAATCATCAGTGATGCTCCCATCTACTTTAAAACCCCATCCACAAAATCATGGTGAAATCCTGCAATCCTGAAATCCCCAAAGGCTCATCATCAACCAGCAGGGCTTTGGAAGACTGGTTTGAAAAACCTGCCCGTTGGATCAGCTTCTCCATCTCCTCCGGGTTTTGAGCTGCGAGGTCGGAAGGCGGTGCGGAACCAGCTGTGAGGCGCAGGTGGTAGTTCTCATGACCTGAAAAGCGATTCAACGGCGTTCAGCGAAGAATTTGGACGTCAACCAGCGAAAATCGTGATTTTACCAACAGAATCGCGATTCAACCGTCAAAAATCGTGATTTCACCGTCAAAAATTGTGATTTCACCATGAAAAATGTCTATTTTTGACCCATTGAAACTGAGTCAGTGGTCCCCCTTTTGCTCACCTTCCACCTTCTCCACCACCTCCAACACCTCCCGCAGAAAGCGCCGCAAGCGCTCCGGCTCTGCCGCGAAGCGCGCGAAACCGCCGCTGGAAACGCCGTCGACACCGCAGGGCGCCAGCAGTAGGGAGCTACTGGAGCCCTGGGAAAAACCCGTGGATCTTCGGCAGTGGATCTTCAGATCTTTAGAAAATGTCCTTTTTTTGGATTTGGTTAGATCACTTGAAAAAGTATTTGTTGAAGATGATATCCGACATAGTTGGGTGTTGAAAATAAGGATATTTACCAAGCTCTGATCTTCTGCTGACCTTTTTTGATATAGCTTGTCTGAAAAGAGTGCATCCCAAAATCCCCTGGTGTATCATATATTTTGTTTTTTCCCTTTGAACTGGCTATATTGGAGATACATACCACTTTCAAACAGACCCATCTGTTTGAATGATTTTTTGCAGAATGGGATCTATGCTCCTTGACTTTTGGGGGAGATACGTGGCTTTTATCTTTTTGTTCTTTGGTATGATATGTGTGGATTATGTTATTTAAGAGTGGGATTGATTTTCTTCGTTTTGTGGGAGACATTTTGCAACTTCTTTTTTGTGGTATATCTGGTATATATGTTGGGACTTGAATTGATGAAAATTCTTATAATATTATAGTAGCAAAACTGCAATAGTTGGATGGTTAAAACCATGGTTTTCTCTTGGTTTAACCAGAAACATCACTCTACCAAGCTAGGAAATCTGCTAGGAGAAGCGGCTGTCTGGTCCAAATTCCACCTCGTTACGTCCAGGTGTCAAACATAACTCTGGTCAATGATTCCAATGATATAAATTTGGGCTAGAAAATAAATGGCGAAAGAATGACCGTCTGCTGCATGGTCCATGGATGGGCCTGTTTTTGGTTCATGCCTATCTGAAAAGAAACACAAAAGCCCTCACAAGCGTTGCAAACATATGGGGTTGTCTGAAAATATGGTACCCACAAGATTGATAGATGACCTTGATAATTGCTATACTTTGGTGGTATCCCGCATTTTTGGGCAAACCCATCCATTTCCTCCTGATACCACCGGCAAGCACTGTCACCCAAGAACAGACCAGGCTCTTTCCTCTTCCGGGTGTATGCCACAGTGCCAAGCACTTCCATTGACATCCAGCAAGCGCGTTCCCAGTCAAGTAAATACGAAGGTCACAAACAAATCACTGCTTCTCAAACTTTGGCCAGTTTTGTTTCAGCATGGTTGATGCCAGTTTTATCAGTCTAGGCCTTGTAAATAGCATTTGGGGGTTGCAAGATTCACATGTTTCGGCGTTTTTGAGCCAAGCTCGATTGGCGGACCCAGTCCCAAAACCCAGTCCCAAAAGGCAGCTGAACGCTACAGCCGCTACGGCCTCTGCACCACCGCACGGCTGAATAGAGTCCCTTGGGTTCCGCACTCGTCTGAAGGCTTTGCCAGACAAAGGTGGAAACGAGGAGATGAATGGGTCCAAACCCCCACAGTAAGTCAATTTTCATCCCAGTCTTGGTTTGAACTGCATTGCATACCATTTCCATTTTCTTCAGAAAAGGGAAAAGCTCTGAAGTTACTGAAGTGGTTGAAATACCAACACACTGTTGACTGATCACTGGCCCTTAACGCCTTAACCTTTGCCACCGAGCCGAAAACATGACGATCACCTGGCCATATCAGCTGGCTTTGGGTCAAACCTTGGGCTCATTGTACTACTTCTTCAAGATTCTTCAAGTTTCAAAACTCATTCTGGTGGAAACAACACCCGAAAAAATCCATCAAAATGCATGGAATTGGTGTATTTTTGTGGGGATGGACAAATTCAGTGTTTAAACAACCACGTGACTCAGATGCCAACCTGCCGTCCGACATAATTACCAAGACCGCTGTCCGCCATCTCTGATATGAAATTTTCTATCATTGAACCACACGCAAATTTTCATGCTGAACTCTCGAAACAGAGGTCCACTCAAATGAGCACTTGATTTTCTTGAAGAAGTATGTGCATCCTTTGACTCAAGCTGGTCAGATTTTGAAGCAAAAATTGTCGAAGAGCTAGCAGCTGGTTCACTTGATCAGTTGGATTTGGTCACATGGTCGAATAAAATCTTATTTGCGATGTCCAAGTTTTATCAAACACCAGCTTCTCACATGCACAATTGCCGTGCTTAATTCTTTTTATTGTGGGGAGTTGTTCCTTCATATTCCCCTCCAATGCAGCTTTTTCACCTTTTCAAGGCAGTGTCGAGATGCATAGCACGGTCAAGGCCAGCCAGGACTGCAGATGGGGGCTGCCCACGGTCAGCCGCCTGAGAAGGTGCCAACCTCCCAGCAGCAGGGCTGCCAGGGCACCGTAGATGTGGCCCAAGTAGTCGGTGGCGGCAAACTCGCGCGGTGGGCCCAGGGCCAGCAGAGAAGGATAGGCGCGGAAGAAGCAGTGAACGAAGAACCAAAAGAGGAGGGAATTCGACACAGTGAGCTCAGCTGGAAGGGAGAAAGCCACCAGGAGCAGAACCAGGAAGACACTTCCAAAGGGCAAAGGATAGCTTCGGAGCCTCGTACTGAGGGGAGAAAAGATTTCTGGGATGAACCTAGCCGCCAGCAGCAACCCATTGCCAGTTTCTGGTGAAATTCCAAAGAACTGCGCCAGTCCTGCTAAGCCCAGCCCTGAATGACGTCCCCAATGTTTTGGACCTTCAACTTGTGCATCTCTTCACCCAAGATCAGTATCAGCACGGGTTTCCAAGGGACAAAATGGATGTAGATGTATAGTTAATAGGTAACTTTAGGATCTATGTGTAGCTGACCCAAAAAATGTGTGTTCTTTGGATTCTTTGGCCCAACCTCAAACTCTCCTTGATCACCGACCAACAGGACGGCCAGCACAGCGATACCGTATACGCAAGCACTGGCTCCTCTGCTGTTGGACAAATTGGCGATGGCATCGACATGTTCGCGTGGCATCTGGCTGAAGTCCGGGTTCCGCCTCGCCATGATCAAGTTATATGGGATGAATATGGAATGAATTGTGGTCATGGTCATCCAACCATTGGGAATCCTTACATTGCCCACTATAATTCCCTGGTGCTATGACCATGGTGGCCATTGGCAAAACTGGAAACTTGTAGTCGTACAAGTTATAGCCAGAAAAATGATGGAAGTACATCCTGCAACTCTCACTAACGCAGATTCATACAAGGCGCCATTTTTTGATATTTTTTGCGGAGTTGGTGTGACCTTTACTCACATCACCCAGGCGGTTTCATTGTCGAAAGCTCAAAACACCTGATTTGGCCAACCTCAAGGTCCATCGCAAAGTGAGCCAGCTGCAACTACAACCCACAGCTCCGCAGATCAGGAAGACCACCATGAAAAACCTGGCATTTCGAAGGTGAAGCCAACTTTCACTGGATTGATTCAAGATGTTCGAGATATTGAATGGAAATCTACAGGAAACCATTGTTTTCTCACCAAATCTCAGGGCGGTTCCTGTAAATGTTCCTTTGAAACTAGTGAAACTTGTGACATCGATTCATAGCGCTCAAAGTTTGAGACCAACGCTGAACTTTCCAATCTTTCCAGTGACTCAGGATCAGGGTTTGGGTCAGGTGCTTCCAGATCTTCCAGCAAAGTTACTCGACTTAAAGGGCAACTGTGGTGGTTCCAACACCCTGCGCCAAACTTTGAGAAAGGAACCACGTGCCAATCTCCACCTCTAGTGGTACACCGGCCAGAATCATCAAGAACGCTTCTCTCAAGAAATGCGAGTGCGTGCCTGCGACAGTCACAACGACATCAACACCGACGGTTCAAAGAAAACTATCATGCGGGATGATAGGATGACAGTGATCCACAATACCAAGTTACTAAGTTGCAGGGTTTTGCACCAAACACTCCTTGCTCGAAAAGCAGTTGATAGCCGAGTTGCCATGCAAGAAACTGCTGGAGAACATGACCCACAGCTTCCCATGCAACAAGGCATCTCCCGTGAAGTCCAGGTGTTCGCCTAGGTGAGTGCGAGCTAAGCACTTGGTTCCTTCGAATAAATCAACCCAACCCAAAAATAAAACTTGATCGCTTGATCAACCCTACTGACTCCATAGACTCTAATGGATGGTGGCAACTCTGACTTCAACTCTGAGCCTTTCAAATGGATCGCAACATGTCTAGTGGCACAAAGTTAGGCTAAAAATTTAAGGTCTGTCATGATTTTAAGCCAGAAAGGTTTGGGCCACTGCTCACGCGAACAAATCGGATGATTTGGCCTCAGAATCCCAATAGTTTTTGCTAGTATCCCTATGGCCCTAAGATACCTGCTGTGGTCGGTGCGTATTCTATAAAAACTGGGTGCTAACATGCCCATTGGTTGCATCCCCAACTCCCGCCACTGTATATCCTCATCGATAATGGCTCAAAACGGGTGACACCCTTCAGAACCCGTAAATTCGATTTTTGAGTTGCTTCTGTATTTTGCTGGCCTCCAGCCACCCCAAACAAAGATCCAAAAGTTCTCTTAGAAAAGGATAGGTATCTGCCCCGGAACCCTCCGGAACCTCACCATCTGCACCGGAACCCTCCAGAACCGCACAGAACCCTCCCGAGCCTTAGGAGGTATCTTCACCGGTATCTGCACTGGAACCCTCCGGAACCTCACCACGCATCTTCACCTAGATCCTCCGAAACCTCATCAGGCACTGTAGCTGCACCGGAAACTTCCGGAACCTCACCAGGTACCTGCCAAAACCCTCTAGAATCTAGAACCTAACCAAGTATCTGCACCGTAACCCTCCGGAACCTTACGGACTCTAACCCTCCGGAACCTCACCGACTACCTTCACCGGAAACTTCCGGAACCGCACAAGGTATCTGCACCGGAACCCTCCGGAACATCACAAGGTATCTGCACGCGAACCCTCCGGAACATCACAAGGTATCTGCACCGGAACCGTCCGGAACCGCACAGAACCCTCCGGAGCCTCAGCATGTAATCTTCACCGGAACCCTCCGGAACCTCACGAGGTATCTGCACCAGAACCCTCCGGAACTGTGTCCGGCACCTGGTGTTAAAGCTGCACTGGATCGCACCGGAGCTAATCTGCGGTAAAGACACTACACCACTTGCGACAGCCAAGGACTCCCTCGAGGCCGTGAGCCTGTGACTCAACAGGTGATATGGCACAACCATGAACCAATGGATATGGATGTGGACGTCAAATGGATATATAGTGTGTATATATATATATATATGTAGTGGATAGAGCGGATAGATATATAGCGGATATATAGTGTATTGTGTATATTATATATATATCTACAGTATACGAGCGGATATATAATTGCCAATAAGTATCAATGTCAACCACTTGGGATGAACCATCCCATAAACCAATAAACCATGACTGGAGGTCGTATTTAAAAAAATGTCTAGGGGTATAGCCAATTTCATAAACCTCAAACTTGGGGATGATTGATAAATTATTGATCTTACATTTTACATGTTTTACCGCGTTAGGCAAATCACAGACCTTCCACCATCTTCCACCTGCAGATTCTGATGGCACTCAAACAAACAGGCAGGGATGCTTTGCCTCTAAGTTGAAAGTTCACGCATTTATAACATAAAACTGAACACCTAGCTAGATAAAGTCTTGTTCTGCACCAACTGTTGTACTACATCGTTCTGGCATTTTTGGAAGACGTTGACAATTCAATCAATCAACAACACTCCTGCAAACCTTGATCCCAATGTCAGGAAACCACAGCAGTGTCAAACTGAGCGCTGAATTTGTCGAAGGCGCCACAAGCATTGCTGTTGCCAGCACCAGTGTGCCGTAAGGGACTTGCCCAGGCTTGCCAGAGACATCCATGGAGCAGCAGCCGCACAGCACACAGCTGTACAACTTGCCACTCAAAACACCTGCTTTGTTGATCTTTGTTGCGGTTTTGAGTTCCTTATAGTTCCTTAATTCCTTAGCTTGGCTTCAAAATCTTTAGGGAATGCGTTACACGGCTACCGGACCGTTGCGGTTCACTGAAAATATCGTCGCACCTTGGCCTCGTACCTGGATCTCGGTCCATCACAAGTGTTTGGACCACTTTCGGAGCCAAGCTGCAGAAGAAAATCATGATACGATGTGACGATTGCAAAATGCATTGTGACGGCTCGGGAGTACCAAGTTCAAGCAACCACTTGTGATGGCCAAGAAAAGATTGAGTGACGTCACCGTGAGAAACAAGTCTCTTCATCCTTTCAGATTTCAGCAGCAGCTGTTTTAAAGCGAACGGTACCTGCGTCAAAGGCTGCTTCGCCCGAAAATCCAGCAAGTGCTGTAGCAGATGTCAACAATACACACACGCCTCCAATTTGTAGATGTCCAACCTGAGATAGCACCGCACCCGAGAATCAAATGAATCAAAGATTCTGTGACTCAGAATGCGGGTTTTTCGCCACGTTTCATGGCCCAACCCCTGGATGACCCCAGTCGACTGCAGGTTGCCCGACACGGTGGTTTTTTGATCATGAAGTAGAATCCATATGATATCAAAACAACATATTGTCATATAGTCACAAAGATCCAACCCGAATTTAGGGGCTCCGTTGGGACCTCTGCAACATCTGTTCCTGGGCCTATCAGCCAGGCTGGAAACCTTCATGGATGGCCACCAAAAGCCTTGTCTCTCCTAAGACTGTCCCCCAAAATCGTTCCTCTCTAGTAATCAAACCTGGCAATCGAAAGTTCAATTTATTTTCAAATTGTCTATATATGAATAGATGACCTATTTTTTGCCATCTTAGATGGACTGGCGGCTCTTTGGACGTGGAGCATCTTTCCATCCTCCGGCGCCGGAAAATCCTCGCGAGAAATGGAGCAGGCAGCCCCCAGAGCCGCCAGCACCGCATCCAAAGCATCGGCACCCGAGTCGGCTACCAGGGCTGGAAGCAACTTCCTCGGCAAACCAACGTCGTTAACGTCACACCAAGTGTTTTGACGAAACCAGAAACATGTGGATTTCACGCAAAAGATGGAGATATGTAATATATAGAGGTGATAACGAGGTGATTCATATTTTGGTGGCTGAAACATGGCTAATCTATTCTTCACCAAGTCTTACTCTCTGATAATACATCCTGGCAAAGTTCCCATAGCAGCATAATCATCATTGCGAAATTCAATGTTCCGGGCATGAGGACGTTAATGCGTGATATGCTGCAAATGTTGTATTGAGCGCTGATTTGAAGAATGTGTTCTAACACACGTCGTCTGCCGAAGAAAAATGGGGTATGTGGTATGCTTTTTTATCCACCGTGGTCGTGGTGGTCAGTTTGATCAACCAGTGGCTGGGGCATCCCCTGATTCTTGGATCTCTGATTCGGTGACTGGTGGGTGAATATTCCAACCCCCGTAGGTCCATGTCAAATCCTCAGGTGCTGAATTGGTCAAACCAGGTATTTACAGAGGGACTGGAGAATTCAAACTGTGTAGGAAATCTGTGTCAGGTTTTTCTACCTCTCGCCCCAATATGTTTTTCACATTTACAGTTGTTCTCTGTGATCTGTCTCTCAATCAACACCCTGGTGAACATCAATATGGAGGGCAATTGTGGATGTTCATCCACTCGTTAGATTCTGACATGGTAAAAAAACACAGGTTTTGACCCATAGCGATCTCATCTCATACTTGCTCACACGGCACCAGCTGCCCCCAAAAGTCTACGTTGAGGTGCGGATCAGCCATCTGCACCGATAGCAGGCTCTTGCTGTTTCTCCCGATGGGTACACCTCTCCTCACATGTTGGAAAGATCACATCCTACCTTGGGGCCTTGGGGCCTTGGGAGAAAGGAAAGATACTGGCAGTGATACTGGATAATTACATCCCACTCGTCTTGTAACGCAGCCAAGCATCTTCAAACGATCCAAGATCACCCGTCGCCTTCGGCCATGCTTTGCAGTTTTGCCCTTGTAGGGTTCTGTGTAAAGCTCCAGGCGCTTTAGCACAGAAGCTGGGCAACTCTCCATCAAAACGTGGCTACCCGAAAAGTCCATGCATGGGACAACACAGAATCCTTGCTGCGACCTTGGCTGTGCAGGTGTCACCCCAGCGGCTCTCAGGTGTATGAGTGTATGACCACAAAAACGCTTCAATATATCTCAACAAATGATATGATGCCAAGTAGTGAAGTTGGTATGTTCTGCAAAGTGATGTAAGAATTTTGATCGTGCCCAAGAGTTGTTCATACCAAGGTAGTCCTTCAAGCACTTCCTGAAGCTACGGTGCAACACAAAGAGCCGGCTACGCCCAAACTGAGTCGAGACACAAAGGTGCAAAAATGCCTTGGATCGCCCACCAGGTCCTGGTTGGTGCTTTCAGCCCCTCCGAAAAAAAGTCATAAAATGGATCGTCATCCCAGGGAAATAAAACATACTTTCAAAAATCACCATCTAGGATATCTATGGAAATTCTATGGATATCTAGGATCTGTTTGTACATCCTCAAATTTTGTGGCGGCAGCGGCGTCTTATGCTCCACGTCGGTCCGGCGCTTGGGTTCGCGTCGCTTGATTCCGTCAAAGACCGAGGTCGCTTCCCGGAACGCGTCAGGGGTCTGGTAGATCTTGGAAAAACGCCTGGCCCATGTGGTCCAGTTGCCCGTCATAAATTCCTTGGCGATGGCTGGTGGGCTATCCACTCCTACCACGACTGTCTGATCCTTTGTGGCTGCCATCAACTCACTCCTCACTGCAGCAGTTGCATCCTGGGGGCTCAAGCCTCCACCAGGAAGCTGCCGGGCAGGTAACACGGAATGAACCAGCAACGTCAGGTCTGGAGGTTTCTTCAAAAGCGCACACTTGGCCACGAACATCCTGGTAGTTGGAGCAGCTTGGTGTTGTGATTTTGGTGATGACACTACACACACAATGCATTTTGTCGTGCAAATTGTTTACAAAAAACATTCCATTTGCTGACCTTTTGGAAATGATTGGTTTGAAAAAACCAAAACAAGATCTACCATTTTGACAGCAAACCCCCAGTTTTCATGCCAGTGAGAATTTATGAAATGAAACATGTTCACGATCAATAAATTATTCTCATACAAAATAACGACTTGATGTCTGTACATATCATTATCATTATCATTATCATTATCATTACCATTACCATTACCATTACCATTATCTATATATATATATATATCGTGAAGGAAAAATCTCAGCTGGTATTTCGAGCATTTGTTTGAAATGGTTTGTTTACCCTGTCAAGAGCCCCCATACACCGTCCTCGTTATGGATCGTTCCATGCCTATGATCCTTGTTTTCTATGCCAAAAAAAAAGTAGAGTCTGCGCCCACAATTTTTGTTGAATTGATGATACCTTCTGGTATTTTTTCACAGTTTATGATTTTTAAATATTTTTAATAGATAAACGTAAATCATCGAACGAAATGAACAATTTTCCATAGCCATGTTAAATTACCAAAGGATAATTTGCCCTATGCGGCAAAGTGACTTTTTGCCAGCATCTGCCGCCCCGCTGAAATCAATTCCGTAAATGACCACTGTCTGCGACGGCAAAATCCTGCAGCAATTCAGCATGACAGCCGCAGGGTCCACCAAAATCAAGGGAAAAAAATAGGGGATGGTCCTTTGTTTGCCAACGCTGGGACGTTTCATCCCTCACTTTGCAGAAGTTGCTCTCATGGCGACACGGTTTCTGCCGAGGGCGCAATCAAATCAAAAAGTTTTCAAAATGAATAATATGTTACTCACCAACAACAATATGGAAATTTAAAAGAAATAATCGAAAGGCAATGAACATGTAACACCACCAAAAAAAATCGAATCTATCAGCCCAGAAACCCTCTGCATTGTTGTTACCACCTTTGCTGCCGAAAAACAATGATGAAATTTGGGGTGAGTCATGGACCACACTGTGTAAGTTGCATAATTGACATGACCCATTTTAAACACATACATGATGAACTAAGTCAGCTTGACAACATGATAACGGACGTGATCCATTTCCCAGTGTTTCCAACGCAACATCAGTGACAGCGACAATTGCATTGGTAGCCAAATGTCGAAAAGATCAAGGCCAAAAATTTGTTTGGCATATTGCACAGGTTCTTGAAACCCTGCCTTTCAATAAATCAAGATGTCCTTCAACGGTCCGAGTTTGTTAGTGTTCATTCCACGTGTTTCAACTGAATACCAGAATCAAATACAAAATGACGCATCCATGGCCCCTTAGGATTCAACCCGTTTGTGTGGGATGATCTAACATCCAATTTGTGGAAATAAGGACTTGTCAGCATCAGGTGTTCTTTCCAAGGCGACCTGACCACACCAAATCAGAGAATAAAAAAAAAATGTTTTCGTGTGAATTTTCAATGTACTCGTGTTGAAATCAAATCGTGTTTTTGGAACAAAAAAACAAACGTACATTCAAATACTTTTCGATTTCCCAGAGAATTGGGATGCTCTGAACCTTTACAAACCCCTGTCTATGTGCATGTGTGCACGCACGCAAAGAGCAAGGAATTGGTTCACAAACCTTTGTAGGTTTTCAAAATTAAATTCAAGCATGCTGGGGCGTAAGTGCAAATACCGTTTGCAATCCACGGAACAACATGTCATGACCCCTTTAACGTGCAAATCCAGAATTTTATGGACTATGAATTTTCTACCATATGACCCAGTCCCAAACAGCAGTGAATCACGTTTTTGGTGGGGTCGCTTGGCCCGTCACTGGTCACATTTTTTCATCATGTTTCGCTGCACACACAAATTTGATGTCATTGTGGGATGCAGTGGCGAGGGGTAGGTCAAGAACGTTGGTGTTACGCTGCACAATCAGATTTGATGTTGTTGTCGGATGGGGTGGGGTGGGGTGAGGTGGGATAAGATGGGTTGATTGCAAAACGGTTGTTGGGCAGGTAGAGGCAACCCCACCAGATTCAGGTTTGCGTTTTTTCCTGCACATAAACACCCGTACATATATACATACATACATAGATACATACATACATACATACATAGATACATAGATGCATAGATACTTACATTACATACATTACATACATACATACATTACATACATAACATACATAACATACATAACATACATAACATACATAACATACATAACATACATAACATACATAACATACATAACATACATAACACACATAACACACATAACATACATAACATACATAACATACATAACATACATAACATACATACCATACATACCATACATACCATACATACCATACATACCATACATACCATACATACCATACATACCATACATACCATACATACCATACATACCATACATACCCATACATACCATACATACCCATACATACCCATACATACCCATACATACCCATACATACCCATACATACCCATACATACCCATACATACCCATACATACCCATACATACCCATACATACCCATACATACCCATACATACCCATACATACCCATACATACCCATACATCCCCATACATCCCATACATCCCATACATCCCATACATACCATACATACCATACATACCATACATAACATACATAACATACATACCATACATACCATACATACCATACATACCATACATACCATACATACCATACATACCATACATACCATACATACCATACATAACATACATTACATACATTACATACATTACATACATTACATACATTACATACATTACATACATTACATACATTACATACATTACATACATTACATACATTACATACATTCATACATTACATACATTACATACATTACATACATTACATACATTACATACATTACATACATTACATACATTACATACATTACATACATACCATACATTTCATTACATTACATTACATACATACATACATACATTACATACATACATACATACATACATACATACATACATACATACATTACATACATTACATACATTACATACATTACATACATACATACATACATACATACAGACAGACATACAGACATACATACATACATACATTACATACATTACATACATTACATACATACATACATTACATACATACATACATTCATTCATACATACATTACATTACATTACATTACATTACGTTACACTACATAACATTACATTACATTACATACATTACATTACATCACATCACATCACAAACAAACAATACATACATACATACATACATACATACACACACATACATACATACATACATTCATTATATTACATTTACATTACATTACACTACAGGACATTACATTACATTACATTTACTACATACATTACATTACATTACATTACATTACATTACACTACATTACATTACATTACATACATGCATACATACATACATTACATACATTACATACATTACATACATTACATACAATACATACATTACATACATTACAAGCATTACATACATGACATACAAGACATACATTACATACATTACATACATTACCTACATGACATACATACATTCATTACATACGTACATACGTTACATACATTACATTACATACATACATACATACATACATTACATACACTACATACATACATACATACATACATACACACATACATACATACATACATACATACATACATTGCATACATTACATACATACATACATACATACATACATACATGCATGCAAACATGCATACATACATGCATACATACACACACATACATACATACTTACTTACCTTGCATACATTACATGCATTACATACGTTACATAAATTACATACATTACATACATTACATACATTACATACACTACATTACATTTCATTTACATTACCTTGCACTACACTACATACCATAACCTCACATTACATTACATTACATCACATTACATCACATTACATTCATTACATACATACATACATACATTCATACATTACATTACATTACATTACATTACGTTACACGACATAACATTACATTACATACATTACATTACATCACATCACATCACATCACAAACAAACAATACATACATACATACATTCATTATATTACATTTACATTACATTACACTACAGGACATTACATTACATTACATTCACTACATACATTACATTACATTACATTACATTACATTACATACATGCATACATACATACATACATTACATACATTACATACATTACATACATTACATACATTACATACATTACATACATTACATACATACATACATACATACATACATACATACATACATACATACATACATACATACATACATTACATACATGCATTACATTACATTACATTACATTACATTACATTACATTACATTACATTACATTACATACATTACATTACATTACATTACATTACATTACATTACTACATACATACATACATACATTACATACATTACATACATACATACATACATACATACATACATACATACATACATACATACATACATACATACATACATACATACATACACACACACACACATACATACATACATTACATTACATTACATTACATTACATACATACATACATACATACATACATACTTTCATTACAGTACATTTACATTGCATTACACTACAGTACATTACATTACATTACATTCACTACATACATTACATTACATTACATTACACTACATTACATTACATTACATGATGTTACATCACATTACATTACACTGCATTACAGTACATTACATACATTACATTACATTACATACATTACATACACTACGTACATTACGTACATTACATTACATCACATCACATCACATCACATCACATTACATACAAAACACACGTAACACACATAACATACATAACACACAACATACAAAACATACATTACATACATTACATACATCACATACATTACATACATAACAGACATTACATACATTACATACATTACATACATTACATACATTAGATGCATTACATACATTACATACATTACATACATTCATATTCCGCCGTCTGAACCTGCGGGACAACTCCCACCACCAGCACCTGCGGGGAGCGGTGATGCATCCGACCAGAACATGCCTGCGCAAGACGAAAGTGAGCCGAGCAAAGAAGGGCCTGGAGAGAAGAAGAGAGGCTTGGAGATCACACCTGAGATGTTTATCGAAAATCCAGACGCCAAAAGGCTCCGAGAGCAAGAGCTAGCGTATCGCACCCTCAAGAAATGCGTTGTCGAACTGAGAATGGCCACCAATGCTGTCAATGAGGCTGCACGAGTGATTGGCAACCATCAAGATATTGGGGAGGCAATTGGAGCATCCCAAGTGAGCGTAGAGGCTCAACGAGAAGGTTTTGCAGGCTCCACAGGGGCATTTAATATTAGGCTAGTCAGCTAGAAGGCTTCACGGCCGAAATCAAAGAGCATATGAAAAGGCTTTTTGATAACCAGAACTGAGATTGGTGCCAGGACTCCAAGGCATAAGTTCCTATGTGGCAGTTTATGGCCAATTCTTTCGACCATTTTGCTACCAACATGGAAGAATTCCAAGGACTGGCACAAAAGGGCATCGAAGGACAGGCTGAGTTGGTCGCCGAGCTTAAGAAGATTAGTCAGTGCCTTCAAGCTGTTCAGGCCAGAAAACAGCAACAACCGCCACCAAAGGCCGCCGGGCAAATCCACCAATGTTAGAGAGGGTTGGACTG